GGTTCATGGTCACGCTGTGCCCCTGCCCCTGCTCCAGTGCCAACACAGAAACAGACTGAATGCAGGTGCACTAACCGACACAACAACTCATCCGCACAGGGCAATAACGCGGCCTACCTGGGGCGAGAGGTGGCGGTTCATGGTGGCCCTGTGGTCCTGCATGAGTGCGCCCACCAGCCTCAGGAACGCACGGTAGGTCACCAGACCCTCTGGCGCGCGCACCTCCTCGTACTGCTGCCACACGTGGCGGAAAAAACGCCTGGTGGGGTGTGGGGGGGTGAGGGGGGATGAGGAAAGTCAATATCGATTCGAACGCCCTCACTGCCTCGTACTGCTACCACACTGGAGAAAAAATGCGTGGTGAGGGATGGGGTGGAGTGGGAAGGGAGAGGGTGGTGGATAGTAGCTCGTTCGTCACGAAGCAAGCAGGGAGAGCGCGTGCGAGGGTCCTCACAAAGAGGAAATGGAAGAGCACGCACCTTGGCCCAGAGCTGCCTGGGCGACTGTGTGGAGCCGCGGCGCGAGGCGGTGATGGAGGAGGTGTAGGCGAGCTTGGAGAGGTAGGCAGAGAGGGCGCGCGTGAAGGGGTTGCGCACAAACGTGAATCGGAACATGCCCGGGCGCAAGATCAGCCGCACCTGGTGGGCGAGAGGATGACAGGAGGAGAGGAGAGAAGGGGGTGTGTGTGAGGGAAGAAAGAAGGTCGGTGAGCATGGGAGGCAGTGATCATGGGAGGCAGTGATCATGGGAGGCAGTGATCATGGGAGGCAGTGATCATGGGAGGCAGTGATCATGGGAGGCAGTGATCATGGGAAGCAGTGAGCATGGGAGGCAGTGATCATGGGAGGCAGTGATCATGGGAGGCAGTGATCATGGGAGGAGGTGAGCAGATAGGAGGGGGAATGCAGGAGATATCGTGAGTGTGAATAGCACCATGCTATACTTTGCCATGGTAGGTATGCCGTGTTGTCCTTTGCACTGCCTTATCTCTATATCAGGTACGGTTCTATGGGACAGGACCTTCAGTCCTGCCACAGTCACCGCCTCTCATTCTGTGAAATTGGTAGACTACCGGTACAGAGTTGCCCTCTTCACCACGACCCATCATCCTTCACGCCCTCCCACACTCACCGCCTCCTTCTCTGTGAAGTTGGCTGACAGCCGGTGCAGCCCCGTCTCCCTTATCAGCGGCTCCTTGTCCGTGTAAGGCAGGCCGCTCTGCGCGCGAATCCACTGCAGCCACGTGGTGGAGGCCACCTCGGGAATACCGCAGTAGGCCATTCCCAGACGCTCTGCTCGCATGGGGGGCAGCACGAGAGGGGACGGCTTAGGGGAGAGAGGAGAAGGCGGAGGAAAGGCAGGAACAAGATAGAAGAACGAGGAGACGGAAGGGACATAGTGCGTGAAAGTGAGTCGCCAGCATGGCGTACCTTCGACGAAGGTGAATTTGGCCCACTTCTGCTGCGGAATGGGGAGCACCTCCTCCGACTCGCACACCGACCGCGCCACCTCAAACTCCGCCGACCGCGCCCTCCCTTGTGCTGTAACGAAACGCGCTTCTATCGAGGACGAGTTGATGGGGAGGAAGCCCTGAGCGCGGCTGAGGGTAAAGAGCTCAGACACCCGTAACTGATGGCACAGCAGAATCGGATCTCTCTCCGCTCTCGCAACCCTTGGCCCTTCAACTGGGCCGCCTCTGCCTTCCTCGTTCAACCGCCTCCCTCTTCCGCTTCCGCCTTCCGCACCCCCCTGCCCTTCCCCCTCTGCTCCCCTCATATGCTCAAACGCGCACTTTTTCCGCCGCTCCTCTCCCGCGCGGAGCAGCAGGGGCGCGCGCAGGGGGTCGAAATACGCGGTCACAGTGGCGGCGCGCGCGGGGGAGGGGGAGCCGAGGACGAAGCGCAGCGAGGGGTCTTTAAGAGACTCCATGGCGATGCGGCGCATGGCGCAGAGGGCGGCGGAGGCGTCTGATGTGGCGGCGGCGCAGCCGGAACAGCCGGGGGGAGCAAGGTCCTGCCGCACGAGGACGGGAGAAAAGCGGAGCATATGTGAGCTTCGGAAAAAGGAATGTAGGTCTGTTATTGACAATCCAAGAGATGCAAGCGCGTTCAAAGCTACAGAGCTGCGTTCTTCATCCTTCGGATTCCCTTTCCTCGTTTACACCCCTTCTTCCCTCCCTCCCTCCCTCTCCTACCCACGTCTCCCACCCCCACACACGTACAAAATCTCCTGTTTCCCTCTTCACCCTTTTTCTCCCCCCTTCACTCTCCTCCTCCCCCGCGCCCACACTCACGTCCAGGTGCACGGCTACAGTCGCCTCTACCGCCTCCAACTCCTCCTTCGCCACCAGTCTCGCCACGTCAGCGGACGGCTGTAGCGACGCCAAGCACAGATCCACCTCGCGCTCGTACTCGCACCGCGACACTGAAATCTCCGCTATCTCCTCCCCTGTCGCTGCCGCATCCACTGCCGTCTCTCCCGCTGCTGCTGCTCCTGAGCGCTCCTCGCCTGCCACCTTTACCCCAGCGCCTTCTGCTGGCATATAGAGCGCAAACGGAGCCGCCTCCGCTTGCTCGCTTCCGCCCTGCTGCTGTGGCTGCTGCTGCTGCTGCTGCTGCTGCTGTTCTGCGGATTCGCATGGAGAAAGGAACACCTGAAAAGGCAGAAAGAAGGAAGGGGCCACGGAGAACATGGCCTGAGTGCGAGTTGACTTTTGAGTCGACTCAAAAGTCAACTGGCCTGAGTGCTGTACAGTGGCTTTCGAATGGAGCACTTCACTGTAGCAGAAGATGAGGAGATTAACAAAAACAAGGGGAAAAGTGTTGACGCGTACAATTCACGTGTGACGCGTTCACTGTGCGACAGATACGAAACTTCAGTATTTTGCGACAGGCGTGCGACGGTCAGAATGGTTACCGTGCGACGGTTGGAGTTGAGCCCTTTCTTCACATCCTCGCTCGCGATGGCCGAGTCCTTGACGCGCAGGTACCGCCACCCGTTCCTGCTCATCTCTTCCGTACTTCTTACCCCGTCTGCGCTGTCCGCGGTACTGTACTCTTCGCTATGACGAGTCGAGAAGAGGTGGTGGAAGCGCACATGCGGCATGTGTGCGTCCGAGGGCCACAGCGCGACGGTCGGTGTTTGCGTGAGCGAGGCGAAGGCGTAAGCCGCGCACACTGAATACAGACGACTCGGGAGGTCGCCCTGCGATGAAAATGGGAACAAATGTTTAGACGAGCACGGCAGGAACAGCAAAATTGGAGAATCATGAACACGATTGCCAGCGAACTGAACGTCAAATCTCCTCACCCGCACTGCGCATCACTTGCTATGTGCTCTTGAAATCTCCCAACATTGGTTGTGAACGTTTTCCGTTATGGCGCAGGTTGTTACCATACAGCGCGTACCTCTGCGAGAACAATGGCGTCAGCGGGATTGCTCACGAGCAAGCTGCCGCCCTCCAAGCCGTCTCCGCTGTGCGCAGCCTCGTTAATCCTGATAATCTCCACCACTGGTTGCACCTGTTGAGCCGAGTCGCGCTGGGATCTCATAACGACCAAGGCAACTAAGATGACTAGAAGAATGAACGGGCTGCATCGAAACACTAAATCCATCAACTCGAAGAGAATCGAGCATTTCCGTTTCCCGGCCGTGCGGGGCATTGGAGTTGGCTTGAGAAGCCGCTGATGGCTACCGTGCTTCATCATTTTGAGTTCTTTCGTAAGGTCCTAGAATGAGCCCAGTGGGGCGAAGGGCACACGCGATTAGTTACTAGTTTCGGGCTACCTGTATCAAGTATATGTTTTGATGATGAGTACTACAGGCTGCCGATCGCGAATTCTGCGAGTTCTATGCATAAACCCCGACCAATGGCCGCCAAAGTCAAACGCATGTTGAAAGCCTAGATACTTTCAGCGGCCGCATATACTATTCTGTACATCGCCTGGTAGGCTACCAGCCTCACTAGCAACGGCTAAAAGGGTCTCGGGTTCCCCAGAGTCCCAGACACAACAACACCGACATGCTGGTTCAGCTTGCCCACTGATATGGCGGCACGACATCGAAGGCACAGGCAATCAAGGCGAGTGCCGATCGAAGCTGAGTTGATGAGACATGTTCTGTGCCTTCGAAGTCGCCCCAAGTGCACCTCAAATCTGTCAGTTGCTGCCCGCATAAATGTGGGAGGGAGGGGGATGTGCGGCGATTCTGTGATGATGATGGTGAAACTGTTTGGTCATGTTTGCCTTCCTGCCCGTCAAGTTCTGGGGAGTGGATGTTTCCGCCGTCCAAAATTTTGTCAGCAGTGACTGGCGAGCAGGGCGAAACCGCACTGTGAATATCTCGAAGCGCTTGCGGCATGGAAGCCTGACATGCATCGGTATTATTGTGCCGATACAGCATAACGTACAATGACGCACGATAGCTGTAAGGAGGTGGAAATTCTTACAGGTATCAGAGTAGGACTTAATTTTCTTGCAATTAGAAAATTTTAAGTTTACTGGAAGATATTGAATCGTAAAATGCAAAAGAATAATCACTTCTTAGTGAATATTATGCATCTCAATCTGATATATTATTTTTGATGTGCTGATGTATGACTACTGTGTGAGTCGTGAAGTGTACCGCATTGAACATGCTTTTCCCGAGGAACCCAAGAAACGATGCAAGCTCTCGCCACTTCCCCCATTGCACCTGCAAAGTACCCTCTGTTGGCCCACCCTTGTCAGTCACCAGGGTGAATCTCTTTTCCCCTTCATCCTAGAGTCTTTGCCCTGGCTGACTTTGGTGCGGACGCAAACTCACCAGGTTTGATATCGGATTCTGGATTTGTCTTTGGAAAGATTGTAATTAGCGACTCGCAACTCGTACGTCGTTAGCTTCGAGGCGCGATGCCTTTGTGGAGAGTAGAGTCCGTCCCAGATGAGATTGATGCGAGTGCCGATGCGTGTGACAGTCCTACCCGCAAAAGTCTCAAGCCAAGGACGCAGACCTCAAGCCCAATGAGAAGCCCAGCTTCTCAATACCATTCACCGTTCCTAGTTCCGACCGCTCCACCTATTGACGTCAATAAGAATACATCGTGGTTTTCGTATCCTGGAGTTTGGACGACATACTTAATCATTGTCGTACTAGTGTGGCTCTTAATCCTCATAATTTTTCAGTGTAGTGTGGCTTCCGCTTGCGCTGCTGTCAATATTATCCATTTCGTGGTAAGTGAGCGTGATATTTGTTGTAGGCGACGAAGTGTAGAGAGCTAGGTTTTCATGAATATTATTACCGTCGAATCTTTTGCGCCTTAAATGCTGTATCTTTGCATACTTATTACCGAAGAGTCGGATGTGCGTATTCCTGTGCAGGTGACCTTCTACCTTTTCCACTGGAAAAAAGGCTCGCCCTTCGCTGAAGACCAGGGATTGTACGATAAGCTCACTTGGTGGGAGCAGATTGATGGCCGCCGGCAGCTTACTCCCAACCGCAAGTTTTTGACCATGGTCCCTGTCCTATTGTAAGTGCCTTGGAGACGTCAAATTTCAGACTTCTGCTAATTCTGGTACGGTAACCTGCAAGGCTTTCATCCGTGTGTAAAACTCCATGTGGGCCCAATCGTTATATTTTTCACCCTTTTCAGATACCTGGTGACATCCTTTTACATGCGGCATGATCCTAACTCTGAGCTTTTCTTCGTCATCAACACAGTGCTTGTCTTTGCACTTGTCATTGCCAAGCTTCCAGCTCTTGACAAAGTCCGGATATTTGGGATCAACTTTGACTAGCCATCAGGCCAATGGTTTGTAGTACTTCAGTATCTGCTGTTCAGAGCCCGTTTCCTTGAATTTTTGATAGGTGGGCCATGGGCAGACCTTCACCAAGCCAGGTTCTTGTTTATTACTCAACCCCTGTCAGTTGCCATGCCATAACCTGTAGGCACCGTGATGTGCGTAGCTTGTTAAGGGATTGTAAGATTTCTTCTTGCAAATACGGTAAGGGTAGTCAGCTGTCTTGCAAATTCCTGATCCAGGTCCGGGATGAACGAGGAACTGAAGCCATGAGGAAAAAATTATGCAGACTTCACAGCTCCAATCGATCAAACTGCTTTCCAGCATATTTATGACATGATACGGTATGTCTGAATCAACTCATTGACACACTTCAGCTAACATCAAGCACCTCAACGCCCTGCCTTGCGCTCTTGAAGAGGTGCAATGGCTTCGTCTTGCGCACCCTTGTTTGCAAATGGACGTTCTCCTTGACAGTATCGATGGAGACTGCACTGATCTCAGTGTACCCTGTGATGCCCTTCAGCTTCAGACCCACAACACCTGCCATTTCCTTGGGAGTAATCCGGACCACAACCTTCTTCGCATACTTCAGAACTGTCCCGTCACTGAGCTTGATTTCCATTCCTCCTGTAAAATACACCTCCAGGACGCCCCCTGCTTCGGGTTTGCTGGAATCTGTAAGTTTTAGGACATACTTGACGTGGTTCTTTGGGAAAATTCCCACAGGGAACTCGTACTGCTCCAAGATCTCTGGAAGCGGCTTCTGCACTTTGCCTGGAATGGCACGAATGGCAGAGTGATACGTGTATGGCATGGGGAAAAAAAGGAATTATAGTAAACGAAGGTGGATGCAGAAGACAATTAGGGAAGGAAACGAACATAGCATCCATGATTGCGGGCACATGGACTTGGACGAGTAGAAAGGACGGGAACACTTTCCACCAAGTAATTTCACTGCAACTCGTACCCATAAGGCCTTCCCACCAGTTGCTGACAGCTTCTGTTGCATCATTCACCATCGACTGACACAGCGAGATTAGAAACACAGAGAGCACGGGTGTCATGAAGGCAATGCAGATATTTTGCATACAGAATGAACGAGGAGAACTAGTCAACAGGCTGGACATAAGGAAATGCAAAAGTCTATGAATCTGTGGTATTTCGAAAATAACATTACCCGGCACACTCACATTGACTGCTTCTCCAACGCCATTAACTTGCTTCTCAACAGCCTTTCCCGCAAAAAAATCCATGTCGGGACTATCCTGACTAGGGTTAGCGCGACCGAAACTAGCCACTCCCTGAGCTAGTTCAGCCTCAGATCAAAACCAGCACCCAAGAGTAGAGCAGCGTAAACTGCGCCAAGACGAATGAAACGGCTTGACAAAAGGTCGGTGCGGCGGAAGCAGCGTGAGAGAAAAGAGGCCAGATGCAAAGAGCAGAAATGCGTGGTGAGAAGAAACGAGTGGGATGGGATGGGAGGGAACGTTTGTGGCTGGTGATGGTGGGGAGAAAAGATTCGCTGAACTAAAAATTGGCATTGGCTGGGAGGTGGACGCAAAGGTTCTGGTGAATGGACGAGCAGCTGCGACAGTGGCTGCGAACATCAACACCGGTTCGGTTACCTGTTCTGAGAACGTTCGCCTCACATTGGCGAAAGTGTGCTGGTAACACACCAGATATTCAACCCTTTCCCCTTCCACCCCCCCTCCCAAACCTCCCTTACCACTTCCGCCTTTCCCCGAGCTGTTCTTGACGCTGACGCATCCTCGATGGGTATGCACGAAGTGGCGGCAGCAGCACACGCGTAAGTATGTAGCTTGGCTGAGAATTAACAATCGTCGCCTGGGGTTGTCTCGAAGTAGCACGGAAGTCAGGGTGCGGTCTGGCTTGGGGATTTTATTCTTGGTTATTCTCGGTTCCTCTCGGTTCCTTTCCGTTCTTTTGCTGCCATGGCCGACGACGAAGCTTCCTTTTTCGAAGCGATCAGCAGCTTAGGTCCGCTGAGCGAAGCGGAGCTGTCGATTCCCGCGCTCCACGCCGCTGAATCATCGCCCAACGAGTTCAAGATCGAAGAGATCGACGGCTTGCCGTGGCTCCCCCCACTCGAACCAGCTCCTGCCGCTCCTGCTTCCGAGTGTTCCCCAGAGCCTACCCAAGCGTGCGACCGGGAGCATGTCCGACACCATGAGCAGGATTACAGCCGAGAGCAGCATTCTCACTACCAGCGTACTGAATTTCTTGCAGGCAGTCCGGGAGACATCGAATTTTCTCAGGCGATCGACGGTCCCGTCGCGCGGTCTGCGCCGCGAGCCGTTCCACAGCAATTCGGCACGTCCGGATTCCGCCGAGGCTTCCTCCTTTCAGGCTCGGAACCTATTTCCGTAGGTTCGGTGGACCAGAAAATAGAGAGAGCTCAAGCGCAAGGGAGCGACAGACAAGAGGAGGAGGCGGAGGAGTGGAAGGAGTGGATCAGCCTGTCGACCGAAACACATTTTCAGCTGCAATTGTCCGAAGACCAAGACTGGTTCTCTGAGCGTGGGACCCAGGAAGCTTCTGGAATAACAGACACGAGCAGTTTCAGCGGAGTCATTGATAGCACAGCTTCACAGAGCAAGGGTGATTATAACGAGGTGCAGGAGGCAAAGAGTGCGTGCTTGGCGGTTGGAATGGAAGGCGAGGGTATCTGGTCTGATCCCCTGCCTGTGGAGGGAAGTGCATGGGAGGGTGGGCTCCGTTGGGGTGATTCGCATGCTGCAGTGGGGGATTCGCGGAGCAAACAGTGTGTTACAAACGCGGGTGATACTATCGAGGGTGATGCATGGACGTTTGACGATGCTGAAGGTGCGGGGTGTGATGACGAGGTGTTGGGGAGCTGGGTGGGTGAGATGGACGAGGGCGATGGGGAGGTGGCGGAGGAGAGAAGCGAGGAATGGGAAGGAGGGATGGGACTGGGGATGGGGATGGGTTTTGAAAGCACGTGGTCTCGTGGTGCGTCAGCGTTCCCCCCAGGAGCTGCTTCTGCTGAATTCGAGCCTGCTGAAACTGCTGAACCTGCTGGGCCGGCCAGTGACAGTGCTGCGTCCGTTGCCGGCATTGCAGCAAGGCAGTCAGCAGGCAGGACGAACAGCACTGCTGGTGGGGCGTTCGGCAGTGCGGCACCGCCTGCCGGTGGTGGTGATGCGGGTGGGGGGGCGTGCTGGAGTGCGGAGGAGGTGAAGCGGATTATGGCGTCTCTGGAGCAGCAGAGCCAGAGGGTGCTGCTGGCGCAGCAGAGGAAGCAGAGTAGAGAGAGGGGCCAGTTGGAGCAAGATGGCGTGGGGAGGTGGATGGGGATGGGTAACGGTGATGATGTGGGTGGTAGGGATGTGGTTGATGAGCTGGCGAAGGGTCATGCTGAGGTGGCGCGTGAGGTGGATGAGGTGGCGGATGCAGATGAGCGACTGAAGCAGATGGTAGCCATGGCTGCCAGACAGCTGGACAAGGGGCCCTTCACTCCTGCAACTGCTGTTTTCTGCGACTACTGCTGCTGCTACTGTTGATGTGACTGCTCCTGATGCTGCTCCAACTCCTGCTGCTCTTGCTCTTGCTCTTGCGGATCCTTGCGGCATGACTGCTGCCACCACTGCTGCACCTACTCTGCCTGCCATTGCTCCTGCCGGAGAGCCCTCAGCCGATGTAATTTCAGATTCCGTTTCTCACACCAGCCCTTTTCACTCAAAAGGAAGTGACAATAGCGGGAGCCTGAGTGGACACCTAGGGGGCGAAGGTGTGGGAGGTTTAGGGCGGGAAGATGGGGGTGGGACGTTCTTTGATGAGGCGAAGGAGCTGGAGCGAGATCTGGTGGCGCGATGGGGTCGAGACGGGGATAGAGGTGCCTGCGATGAGGGCTCTGAGTGGACGCAAGAGGGCGTCAAGGGCGAGAGGAGAGATGAGGGACAGGGAGGGGCCAGGGACGATGGAGATAGTGCGAGGGGAGGAGGGGAGGAGGAAGGGAGGACGTTCTTTGATGAGGTGGCGGGGCTGCAGGAGGAACTAAAGGGGATGGAGGGGGTGCAGGGGTTGACGGGGTTGCAGGAGCTGCAGGGAGTGGCGGTGGAGGAGGGGTTTGTGTCAAGTGCACTTGAGGGATCAGAGCCGGGCAGAGCTACCAGCGCCATCACCTGCAGCACCTGCAGCGGTAGTATTGATACCACTGGCATCACCAGCAATGGCAGCAAGAGCACCCGCTCTGGCTTCTCGTTTGAAGGCGCGTGCTCCTTTTCCACAGGCTCCGGCGCTCGTGAGCGGCCTCAACCCGCACACGGGGAAAGCATCCACACAAGCGGCCTCGCTCGTGCCCGTGACCATGCCCAGCCGCCTGCAGTTCCACCTCTAGCGGCGCTTCCAGCACTGTGTGAAGCAGCACCAAGAGGAGCGCTGGAATGCGGTATGCAGAAGAAGAGTGGAGTGGCGGTGGGGCCTCAGGGAGTGGAGCAGGGGAGGGTGCATCGGGGGAAGGCACAGCTGGGCTCGCGTGGTGGTGCCAAAGGGAGGCTGAGAGGCAGGGGTTTCAAACGGGGATTTCTGCTGGGTGGGGAGGACAGGACAGGGAAGGAGAAGGGTAGTGGTGTGCTGGGTGAGAGTGTGGTGGAGGGAGCGTGGAAAGAAAAGGACGGTGGTCGTGCCAGCCCTGTTAGTGGGGGCAGTCCTGGTAGTATTGACAGCAACGTTGGTGGCGGTGGTGCTGCGGGTGCTGCTGCTGGTGTGGATGCACCTGTTGCATCGCCCTCGCATGCACCACAAGCCGCACACGCCACACCTGCTGCATCCCCCACGGACGAGGCGCAAGCAGTGTTCGCACGTGTGCACCCGCTCTGCGTGGCTGTGGTGGACGCGCAGGGGGACCACCAGCAGCTGCCACATGCCATACAGCGATTAGAAGAGGCGATTGGGCACAGGGACGTGCCTGTGGGGGGGCTTCAAGCATGCCTTGAGTGAGTGAAGTGTCATAGCTACTAAATTACCTACTAGCTCGTGGCGTTTATGAATTAAATGGTGTATTCACAGCCTCATGTACCATCCCATGTCGCATCTGTTTCCTTCCGTCCATGCCGTGCCAGCAAAGCACCCTTCAACCGCATCACGCCTTCCACTAACACCACGCCTCCCCTTCCTTCTTTCCTGGTTTCTTTCCCCCCCGCTTCTCTCCCTTCACGTCACCAGGTTTATCCTCTTCCCGCTCTTGCTCGTACTGTCTCCACCCACCCTAGCCTCCACTCCCTCCTCTTCCAAGCCGCCTGCATCAGCTGCGGCAGGCGAAGGCTGGGCCAGCAGCACAGAGAACGATCATGCGGCTGGAATCACGCCACGTGGCAGGCAGCGAGTGGTGGAGGCAGCCCTGAGCTGCATGCACGTGGCACTGACCCGCTGCGCCGTGCGATCGCACGACCAGGCTGCCTCCCTCCTCCGCTTCCTCGCCTCCGCCACCACCCCCATCTCCCAACCACCTCCCACCTCGAGCACTAGCTCAAGCGTCCCTGATCGCCCTGCTCTCAGCACATCATCAGGAGCAGTAATCCCATCACCGTCACACCCACCATCAGCATCGGCAGCGCTTGCAAGCATGTCGGGCATTGCACAGTCAGAGGAGGCTCGGCTGCTGGCAGTGCGCTGCCTCTCCGCCCTCCTCTCCCACCTCCCTCGCTGCTCGCCCTCCTCCTGCTGCTGCGCTGCTGCTACAAGCGGCCAAAGCACCAGTGCGAGCAGCAATAGCAGCAGCAAGAGCAGTGGTAGCGGTGCGAGCAGCAAGTGTGTGGCGGGTGTGCTGCAGGCGCAGGAGGCAGCACCGCTGCTGGGTCACCTGCTCTCCAACATGCTCGCAGTGAGTGCACCACGCGTGCTGCTCTCACGCTGTGTGACAATTGCTGCTTTCGTTAGTGGAGCTGCTCGTACCTCATCTAAGCAAGAACTCTGCTCTCTCCATTGATTGGAAACGCGGCTGCTTGTACCGCCTCCACCTGGCTGCCGGATCCAACAGCTCATGAGACCAGCGTGCCTGCTGATTGCGCAAGTCCCTTCTTCCCCCTCCCCACATGCCCGGCCACACAGGCAGCAGAGGCGGAGGCTTGGGTGGGCACGAGGGGCAGCCAGGTGGTTCGGGTGGAGGCACTGCGAGCCGTGCGCCTGCTGGTGGATGGGGTGAGCCGTGGAGCATTGCATTCCACTCGGCTGCATGCGTGCATGGTTGCATTGCGTGTGGCAGGGCTTGCACATGGTTCCTGTCTGTGCTACCAGCTACATCAATGCCAGCGTCTCCTGTCGCTTCCATGTTCCTGCGCCCCTCTTCTCCCACCCTCTCGCACACACACACACCTGACTTCTCACCCTTCTCTTATCTGCTGTTGTACTGCTCCCTGCCCTCGTCCGCACCCCATTCCGTTTGATACTGCACACGCATCACACTCGCAGGCGCACACGCCCGCCGCGCTCGCCTTCTTCCTCCCGGGGATCCTCAGTGGCCTCTCCCGCGCCGCCCTCGCCCCCTTCTCCCCACGCTCCAATGAGCCGCTCACACGTGGCGCCGCAGCGGACCCCTCCGCAGTGGCCGAGGCGCTGCTTGGCCTTTCACAGGCGCTAGTGCTGGTCATGGGGGATGCTTATGACGAGGATGGACATGACGAGGGTAAAGGGGAGGAGAATGAGCAAGGGAGTGAGAGATGGGAGACAGAGGAGGAGAGGGCTTTGAGCATGCTGCAGCAGATGGTGGGTCGCATGGAGGGGAGGAAGGGGGAGGGGAGGAAGGGAGGAGAAGGAGAGGAGGATTGGTTGGGAGAGCAGGGGGTGGGGTCAGAAGGGGAGCTGCAAGGAGAAAAGGCAAGCGGCACAGCAGGGACGGGGGAAGGCGCGGTGATACTGAGGGAAGTGAGTGTGAGAAGGCGGTGTGAAGAAGAGAGTAATACCCCACGGACACATGCAGGAACAGGTGTGGGGCGTGCGGGGGCAGGAGGTGCAGGGAAGGGTGGGAGGGGAGGAGACGGCAGGGCAAGGGGGGCAGGAGGAGGGGCGGGGAGAGGGGTGATGGTGCTGCGGGTGGAGATGGACGAGGCGTGGCGCAGGGAGACAGGCGCCAAGGTGCTCGTGCTGCTGCACAAAGTGCTTCCCAAGGTGAGACCTGACGGTACACAATGCTGCACCTCTCCGCTCATGTATGAACTTTCACCTCGCCTCGCCTGCCTCCGCCAGCTGCCGGGGTGACTTGCAAGTCGACTCCACTCCACAGTCGCTGCACAGTGCTTCTGCTGCTCTCCGCTGCTCCCCTGCACCTGTGCTCACCTCACCTCACCTTCGTCCCCCTCCTCCCCCCAGATGCTGCACTTCCCCGCCCCCAAGGTCCGCTGTGCATTAGTAGATATGCTGGGAGAGCTGTTGCTGCGCTGCCCCTGCTCCCTCTCAGCCTCGCGCCCCCTGCTGCTCGTGAGTCCCTCAGTTTTTGTCCGCTCTATCTGTCCATCCTGTCGCGGATTGGGAAGAACTCTGGTAAAGAGCATAAGCATCAGCATCAGCATCAGCATCAACATCAACATCAGCATCAGCATCAGCATCAGCATCAGCGCAAGCATCAGCATCAGCATCAGCGCATCAGTGCAAGCATCAGCGCATCAGTGCAAGCATCAGCATCAGTGCATCAGCATCAGCATCAGCATCAGCATCAGCATCAGCGCATCAGCATCAGCATCAGCGCATCAGTGCAAGCATCAGCATCAGCATCAGCATCAGTGCATCAGCATCAGCATCAGCATCAGCATCAGCACAGCACCAGCACCAGCACCAGCACCAGCATCAGCATCAGCACCAGCATCAGCACCAGCACAATGCACATGCATCATCTCGCACCCGTCGCTGCAGTCGGTTCTCCTCCTTGCGTTTAAGTGAGGAAGGAGAGAATTTCCAGCATATGCACCATTCTACCTGCATTTCCTCTTTTGAATAACCCCATGCAACCGCATTGTGCTCCTCAATCAATCGCGTGCAGGAGTGCGTCCTCCTCCTCGCCTCTGACCACTGGCCCTCCGTCGCGTCCTCTGCTCGCCGCCTCCTTGCCCGTGCTGTCATCACTGAGCACAAGCCAGCACCGCCATCATTACCACCAGTAGCAGCGGCTACTGGTGGGGCAGTGCCTCAGAAGTGTATAGGCACAGGGTGCATCGAGGTGGCGAATGTAGCTCTGGCGGAGATGGTGGAGAGGTGCGTCTTGTTCCCTCGAGGAGGGTAATTGCTTTTCTGCACGAGAGCGTGCGTATTTGTTGCACACTTGCTCGCGCGCACGTGGAGGTGCGTGCGCCCACCTCTCTCTTTCTTGAGTGGCCTGACCACAAGCTGCACCTCCCCCTCTCCCTCCCTGCTGCCTGTCCCTGCCCGCCCCTGTCACAACAGGCACATGGCATCCCTCGCAACTCCCGCCCCGCCCACCTCTCATTTCCCGCCCTCCTCCCTGCCCCTCCACTCCCCGCTGCTTCCATCGCCCACCCTCTCCACCGTCTCCCCTGTCGCCTCCGCCTCGCACCTGCAAGCCACCACGGTCTCACTCCGAGTGCTCGCAGCGGGTGTCATCACAGCAGGGCGTCTGCCCACCGCGCAACACATCCTGGACCCGGTGAGCCTCTTGCATTGCATGCTCTCCCCGCCCATCACTCCACTCCACTTGTGACGCATCTCCCAAACATCGCCTGCTGTGTATGGCCCAAACACTCTCTCTCCACCGTATCACCCCTCTCCTGCACGCCCTCCCGTATCATCGTCCCATCCTCCCTTTTTATCCTTACTTGTCCCCTCCTCTCTCTCCCACCACGCCAGGCCTTCTCTGCGCGCCTCTCCACGGCCATCTCTCTGCATCTGCCCTTTGCACCCGGCAGCCCCCACACGCTCGAGTCCTCCCCTGCTCCTGCCCTCGCGCTTTCACCACTGCTGGGCTCAGCTGTTGCGTCAGGTGAATCCCCAGGTGTTATGCCAGCCAGCCCACGTGCTCCATCAGCACTGCGCTCTGCAGCCACAGGAGAGGAGAGCGAGGAGGAGCGATGGCGACGGTGGTTCTGGGTGGTATTGGATCAACACGACGGGCAGCACAACCTGAATGGATCATCTGATCTCAGAGGAGCGACAGAGCCCTCAGTGCGTGTGCTGCAAGGGGCGCTAGCTGTAGATGCCACTGCCCCTCCGCTCTTCTGGTTCTGCCGCTTCCTGCGAGTGCTCGCCCGCCTTGCTGCTGCTGCTGATGCCCGTGATACTGCTGATACTGGTGCTGGTGGTGTTGCTGGTGCGCCGACGACGTGGCAACAGCCAATGGGGGCTCTTCCCGCCCTTTTCCAGCCACTCCTGGAAGGACTGCGTGAGGCTGTGGGGAGAATCGGGGACGAGAGGCGGAGGGAGAGGAGACGAGCCCGGGCCAAGAAGAAGGAAAGGGTGGACGTCGAGGGGATGGGAAAGGGGGTTGAGGAAGGGGAGAGGGGACAGGCGGGCAGGAGGCAAGGGAAAGAGGAGGGGGGGCGAAGGAAGGTGAAGGGGAGGAGGAAAGACGGGAAGTCGGATGGGGAGAAGCAGGGTGCGGAAAGGAGGGAGGTAGAGGGAAGGAAGGAGGGAGAGCAGGACCTTTTAGGGCAGGTTTCTGCTGTTCGGGCAGCTTCGTCATTTCTGTTGGCTCTGAGCGAAGCCCTTGCTGGCATCAGTGGCGGGCCATGGGATCCCCGCCGTGGGGGCGAGGGTGCGGAGATGGGAAGTGGAGCAGTGCAGGTTGAGGAGCGGAGGGAGGAAGAGGAGCAGAGAGATCAGAAGCTCAAGGCAGTGGCGCAAAGGGATGACAGGTGGCATGTGGTGATTGGTCCGGTGGTGCAGTCAGTGTTGGGCGAGCTGCTGAACGAGGACCTTTGGGATCTGCCTGTGGATGTGACGCAGGGGGGAGGGAGAGCGGTGCAGAGCGGTGGTGGAGGGGAATGGATGGGTGAGGAGGAGCGAAGGGGGATGATGCGCAGGCTCAATGAGAACGCCAACCTGCAAGCTGTGAGTGGGGAGCAGAGAGTCAAGAAGGGATATTGGCATGGCTCTGGTATCTCCCTTTGCACCATCTTTATCTTTTCATATTTTCCCTTTGCTCTTACCTTTCTCTTCTCCCCTCCTCCCATCAGGTGCTCCTCCTATCCCTCTCAGCAGCGCTCTCAGCTCTCGGCCAATCACACGCCACAAACTCCGGTGCGCTGCGCCGCGCCTTCCCTCCGCTGCTGCGCGCGCTCGCCTCGCCCCACGCGCGTGTCTCCTCCGCTGCTGCACATGCCCTCTCCTCCATCAGCCTATCGTTTGGATTCCCCTCAGTGCGTCACCTGCCACCCCTCCTCTCCTCCTCCGCTCATTGCCCCCCCGCTTTCACGCTCTTGTCTCAGCTGTTGCTGCAGCCCACCATCAGCATGCTGCTGTGCGATGCACTCGTGCCCTCATGCCTGTCGCTGCCTGCTTGTGCCTCCTCTTCGCCCTCCCCCCATGCAGGTGCCGGCGTTGGTAGCGGCCAACATGGACTATGCCATAGCTACCGTGTGCCAAGGCCTCTCCACCCTGCACTGCCACCCCTCCGCGCCCCGCCTGCTGCTCGCCGTCATGCACCTGCTGCCCCTCGTACCTCCCGCCTCTGCAACCGCCGCCCCTGCTGCTCCTGTACTGCCTGCGGCCCCTGCAGTGCCTGGGGAGTATGCGGGGGAAGCAGCAGACAGTCGCCTGCACCAAGCTGATGCGAGCAAACGCTCCGGGTCATCAGCAGTGGGAAGCGGAGGGGCAGCAGCAGCAGGGTCAGCGGTGTCAGTGGCAGCGACAGCGGCGTCGGTGTTGCCATCGGCGTTTGAGAGCATGCTGCCCCTCATCATCCACCCGGTAACCATGCCCGTTAGCGAGTCACTTTCAGAGGCATACTGCCATCACGCCTACCTGCTGCTTATGAACTCAGCACGACTCCTTTTACCGACCCTCGCCCTTCCCCCCAATAACCACCATGTTCAATCCCACAATGTATCCCTCTTGTTCAGTGATATCAGTCCTGTGCTGGGAGATCTCGTCAACTGCTCGTGTACCCTCCTTGCGAAAATGGCACTGCTCTGTCCTTTACTGCCATCCTCGTCTCCCTTCCCCATTCTGCCTTCCCCATTCTGCCTTCCCCATTCTGCCTTCCCCATTCTGCCTTCCCCATTCTGCCTTCCCCATTCTGCCTTCCCCATTCTGCCTTCCCCATTCTGCCTTCCCCATTCTGCCTTCCCCATTCTGCCTTCCCCATTCTGCCTTCCCCATTCTGCCTTCCCCATTCTGCCTTCCCCATTCTGCCTTCCCCATTCTGCCTTCCCCATTCTGCCTTCCCCATTCTGCCTTCCCCATTCTGCCTTCCCCATTCTGCCTTCCCCATTCTGCCTTCCCCATTCTGCCTTCCCCATTCTGCCTTCCCCATTCTGCCTTCCCCATTCTGCCTTCCCCATTCTGCCTTCCCCATTCTGCCTTCCCCATTCTGCCTTCCCCATTCTGCCTTCCCCATTCTGCCTTCCCCATTCTGCCTTCCCCATTCTGCCTTCCCCATTCTGCCTTCCCCATTCTGCCTTCCCCATTCTGCCTTCCCCATTCTGCCTTCCCCATTCTGCCTTCCCCATTCTGCCTTCCCCATTCTGCCTTCCCCATTCTGCCTTCCCCATTCTGCCTTCCCCATTCTGCCTTCCCCATTCTGCCTTCCCCATTCTGCCTTCCCCATTCTGCCTTCCCCATTCTGCCTTCCCCATTCTGCCTTCCCCATTCTGCCTTCCCCATTCTGCCTTCCCCATTCTGCCTTCCCCATTCTGCCTTCCCCATTCTGCCTTCCCCATTCTGCCTTCCCCATTCTGCCTTCCCCATTCTGCCTTCCCCATTCTGCCTTCCCCATTCTGCCTTCTCCTCACTGCCTTCTCCTCACTGCCTTCGCCTTCCCCCTTCTTCCTTCGCCCTTCTCCCTTCCCTTGTCACAGATTCGTTCTGTCCTGGCCTCGCTCCAAATCACCGCTCGTTTGCAGCATGCCCCCCATATAGTCACCCTCGTTCAGGTGCTCCGTGTGCTGATGTCAGCATGTGCCATTGCCACATCAGCAAAGCGCGCAGATGCCGAAGCTGCAGCCTCGGCAGCAATTGCGGTGCTCCGGAGGGAGGAACGAGCCCGGCGCAAGCAGCTTCGGAAGCTGCGGCGACCCAAGGAGGGATGTGGTGGTGAGGAGGGGAGGAGCAGACTGGACGCTCGGAGCGGCCTTGATAAGCCTTACCCACACGTCAGCCGTGTTAGCCCTGAGTCTCATGCTGCTGGTCTCGCAGCCTCTCCTGCCGGCATTGAAGCTCGGCTTGCTCCTCAAGGGAGCAGTAGCAGCAGCAGCTTGTGTGGTGGGAGCGGCAGCAGTGGTGTCGCAGATAGCGGCAGTGCCAGAGACTCAAAGTCACCAGCTGATTCAGGTGTGCAACCCCTTCACCCACCTTCGTTCCCCCGTATTCTCACAACTTCTAGTTTTTTTCTAGAATTGTAAAAGATGGCTTGTCGAACTCCCTGCAGTGTGTGTCCTGTTGTTCACCACCGCTCCTTGCTCTTGCGGCTTGTGGTATCCCTTTGCCTGTCCTGCCCGCCCCACCAGCAGCCGTGCGTGCCTTCTTCACACGCCGCATGCAGGCTGCTGCCGCTGCTGTGCGGGGTGAGGGGGCGCTGAGTGGGACGGAGGCAGTGGAGGGGAAAGAGGAGGAGGGTGAGATGTTGGGGGAGGGGGAGAGGGAGGAAGAGGGGAATTCGAGTGATGAGGAGTGGGACAACTCAGGGTCGGATACAGAGTCAGAGGGAGATGACAAGGAGGAGGCACGGGAAGAGGGGAATGCAGCTGAGCAGTGGAGTGTGCGCCATGCGCTGAGCCAGCTGTCGGATTGCACGAGAGTGGTGGCCATGCATGCACAGCTGGCTGCCGCCTGCCTGGAGGCCTGTGGGCCGCTCATGGCCAGTCGGGATGCTGAGCTGGCGCTGCTCGCTGCTGACGTGGCGCAAACTTCTGTGGCTGCCATGTCAGCAGCTGATGTCGCACAGCGAGCGAGGGCCAATGAGCTGGAGGCGGTGAGGGAGGTGGTTCGGTTGAGAGTGAAACGAGCCAAGACACACCTCACTGCCCTGCAGGACTCAGGCTTGGGCACAGGTCCGGCCATAGGTTTGGAGTCAGGTTTGGGTGGAGGTCTGGGGAGCGGTTTGCTGGACTGGTTGGAGGATGATGTGGCAGGGCTACGGGCTGACCTGGCATCGCTGCAGGATGACGTGGCAGCCATGCATGACACGGAGGATGCTCTCAAGGTGGCGGATGCTGTGAGGGACGAGACCAATTGGCTGCTGCCACGTGTGCACATGATCTGGCCCCATGCTGTCTCTGGCCTCACGAGGAGCCACCCTGCTGTGAGTACTCTCAGCAGCCTAACGCAGTGCAGTTCCAATCAGTCAGTGCTGAGCCCGTGTGATGTGAAGGGTGGCCAGACCCTTTCTATTGGGTGCTTGATATTGCTCTTTGCTCTTGCCTATCTCGTTCCTGGTCGTTCTACATTTCAATCTTACAGTTATTTTTTTCCATCTCATTCCTGCTTTCAACCTCCCATTCTTTTCCCCCTTCCCCGCTGCCCTTTTCCATTGCCAGCTCATCATCTCATCCATCCACGTCATCACAGCTCTGTCCACGACGTGTGACGATGCCTTCATGGCCAGAAAGATCCGGGAAGATTCCTGGCCTCTCATGGCGGCCCTGCTCCTCCAGGGCCCCCCTCTTCCCTCTTACTCCTCTCCCTCCTTCTCTTGTTCCTCGCCCTCCACCCCCTTCCTCGCGTCCATCTCCTCTCGGCGTCTCACCAATCCAAGTCCCGTGGACCTCACGAGGCTACTCACCCTCAGACCCGTACCAGATTCTGGTTCGGTGGCATCGCCGAGCCTGGCTACTGAACCTGCCACATCAAACGACTCTGAAGGTGCACCCTTACGAAAGGTTACATCAGCAGTAGGACCTGCCACGTTAGCAGCAGCAAGGACAGCCCCCTCGCTTTCCAGCTCTCTGGTTTCCCCTGCTGCCCAAGCTGCTTTCTCCCACCTCTTCCCTTGTGCGTCAGGTTCGGGAACCGAACCTACTCTCACGAGCCGCCTTCAACCCATGTCCCGTTCGGATCTCCTCCTCACTCCCACATCCTCCACCCAACCCCAACAACACACACAGTACCCCTCACCCTCTTTTCCACACCCCCCCTTACCCTCCTCCTCACACCCACTCTCTCACGCTTCCATAATGGCCCCATCACCATCCCCAACTCTTTCCCAGACCACGTCAGCATCCACTAGCACACGCAACGCTGCCACGTCAGCATGCTCAGGTGTGGCACCTTCTGCGAGAGAGCGAGTGCAAATGGCAGTGCTGATGTGGATTGCAGAGGTGGCGCAATCTGACAGGTCGAGAGAGGGCGGCGGAGTCGCTTTGAGATCAGTGGCATGTGATGTGATTGTGGTGCTTATGGCAGTGCTGGCAGAAAGGAGGAGTGGGGGAGAAGAACTAATTCATGCTTTCCGCGATGGCGGCAACAGCAGCAGTAGCGATCTCAAGCCATCCATGGTGAAAAGGGCAGCTGAGGCAGCAGTATCTCTTGGCCGCGCACACAAGGAGAATGTCACCACGTTTCTGTCTCATGTCATCCAGTCAATTGCTTCCACATCACCGCCGCAGCTAAGTGCCACTGCGCAGAGATCCGACATTGTGGTCGTGGATGGTGGACATTCAACAGATGGAATTTCCCAGAACGAGCTTGTGAAAGTAGCAGAGGCGTCGTTACGAGGCACAGGTAATGTGGAGAAACAGGGCAGCCACGTTCATTTGCTTTCGAAACTGCTGAAGTATCTGCAAGAATGAAGTGCATTAGTGTGATTTGTTTTGTGCCAATGATGTGTATTTAGCCAGATAAGATTTTCTCGTGTAGTGTAGAAGCAAATTCTGCTGAACTCATTGGTGTTCCCGCAACTCGCTTCGTGAATCTTCATCCCTTCACTGCTAGATGCAGGAGCCCTGTCTCCAGCTTGTCACACCCACTATGCAAGGATGTGACCAATAGAATCATCGCAAAAGAAGTAGATACTCGAGAATACACGTCACCACCAATAGCCCTTTCTGTCGCCAGTGTCGGCTTAGCAAGCGCGTGCGCAGACCTGATTTTCCCAGGAAAGGCACAGCTGTCGCACAGCCGAGCATTCTTCCACAAGCAGGGGCTGTCGTTTATTGGGTGGCCGCATGTACGAAATCGGTGGTGCTCCTGCGACGGAATCTCCCTCGTTTCGATGCTCTTCGCTGCACGAAGGTCGCCTTCCTCGCAGTTCTAACGGCCATTATCTCCGATACTCAAATTTCGCCTGAGCGCGTTCTCAGATGTAATCACCAACAGAAACACAGTTTTTCGATATAGTGTGAATGTATTCTGTTTTATGTTTGTATACAGTCACTCAAAAAGAGGAAGTCTAGCACTTGCAATAAATAAATATAATGCCCGTAGCGAACCTATATGTTTTCCCGGAAGGATCAACCCGAAACACCGAAAGCCTCCAAATATTTTGGAAAACATATTGCAACCCACTTGACAAAAAAAGTAATACCCATCTCGGAAAAGGATGCGACTCGGGAGGCATCAACCCTAAAAACAATGCCCATTTCCGTGTTTAGGGCTGACCCCTCTCGAAAATGCATCCAGGTTCCCTAGGGTTTATATTTTTTTCTGCCATGCCCGAATAGGTCTCGGTAGCGTCCTCTAGTGCTTTCGGAAGCGTTGTTTAGCGGTCAGTTGCGCTACTGAGCACTACCAAGTGAATTATATGGGCTTCATTCTCTTACTACCTTAATTTCCGTGAATATATCCAGGTCGGGAGGGTAAAGTGGATGGTTTTGTTTTTGTCACTTCCTAATGAGTTCGACCAGCGTGAGAAATGTGACTAAAAAGCAACGACCAATCAACGTTGAGGAAGTCCGGATTGATTACACCTGAGAGCGCGCTCAGGAAAAATCTGAGTTTTTAAGATAATGGCCGCAGTTCTAAACTTCGCCAGTCGTCACTCCCCGCAGCTGTTTCGCCAACCTGTCTGCCAACCGTGCTCCATGTCTTTATCCGTGCGATCATTCATCTCGCCCTCCATGTCGCCGCTGACGATTCGGCCACCTATGGTGCCAGTGGTGGCTGAATCTAATCCCCACACCTTATAATTTTCTCCATCAGTTCCAGCTCGGTCGTTGATTCTCTCAGCCCATCGCCGCTCTGTCTGTCACTCTTCAATCGCGTCTCGATTATTCTACGCAAGAGCGTGGTAGTATGCCTCTACTCTCAAGCCCTAGTGGGCAAGATGCTGCATCCCTTCCACCAGCGCAACCTTAAATCGAGGACATCGAATCTCATGACTTCATCTAACGGCCATTCACGAGCCCGTGTCTCCAGATTGTCCCGAGCAATCGGGCATTCAGTTATCCCCATTCAACTGATTTCGAACCCGCGGGGTTAACTCTTTGAGCGGTACGAAGAGAGCTCTTCTGCAGCAGCCATGGCGGTGCCGCTGGTTCGCACGACAAGCGCGGACTCGCCTCTCCGCGCGCCGGCATCCCTCATCCCCGACGCTGACTGCCTCGACGTCCCCACCGTCCTCGTCGTCTTACCCGACGGCTCCGTGCGACTGTACGACACGCGTCGCCTGACCGTGTGCGACGTGCTGTGCGACTATCCGAGCCACGCGCTGTCATGCACGACCACGGGCCCCGTGCTCCAGCAGCAGCGGGTCCTTAACCTCAACGCCACCTACTACCTCCGCCGAGTCTCCCCGCCCGCGGCGGCGGCTGCGGCGGAGGCTCTTTCCGCGAGCGTCGTCTCGGTGCAAAATCCCGATCTTCAATGCGCGCCGTTCTCGGCGGCGCACTCCCCGCACGACACGGGGGGATGCCCCAAGGAGGCTCTTGACTCGTCGTTTGATGCGCCTGGAGAGGAGACTAAAATGGCGCGGTCCGCCTCCGCGCGGAACCTCGAGCAAAATCGCGCGCAGTGGGAACACGTGGCGGAGCGGAGGACTTCCAGCTGGGACGCTGCGGATCCTGAGCCACGTCGGCATGACGTCAGCGACGGCATCATCCGGGGCAATCGCATAAATCCAATTCTGGCCGAGGTAAGCAGCAAAAGAACATATATCTGTTCCTGCAGCTAAGTTTCACGTTTGTTGAAGAGTGGCCCTCTTATGCTCCCCCCCCTGTCTCCCACGACGTGTGGTGTTTGCAGTTAGAAACGCTGGAAGACGACGGCGAAGTTCCTCCCACGCCCTCGACGGAATCCGGCAAGTCGTCGTCCCCCACGGCCAGCGCGAGACGGACTCTGATAGGCAAGCTGGTTCGCTTCAAGCTGCCCATCGGGCGGCGCAGCAGCAGCTACGATCAAGCCTCTCCCGTCGGATTCCGCACTGAAAACACTCGCGTGAGCCCCCGAACTCCGCGCTCTCCGTGCCCTGTCATCCCTAAGAGCCCCCGCTTCAAACCTTCAGGCACAGCTGCTGCTAACACTTCGGTGCAATTCGAATTGAGCGACACGGATATCGCGTGCCATGGCGGCTGGGGTGACAATCTCCCAAAGGCGAGCGGGTATTCCCGGGGGGGAGAGTGGGTGGATGTGAGCTGCGACGTGTTCACGAGCGACACACGGATCGTCCGCCGCGCGGTCATGCTCGTAAAGCCTGCGGGGACCACGAGCGGGGGTGCACGTAACGCACAGCCGCTTATTCAAAGAAACTCGTCAGATCCTGCATTGGCTGCTGGTTCGCGGGCTGTAACACCAGTGTGGTTGAAAAATGGCAATTACACTCAGCAGTTCCCTCTGCCTGTTGTGGTGCCAAGGCAGTCGCAGCACAGCGCTGATTTTATCTCTTCAACTGAAAGATGCTTCACCAGCCCCCTGCTTCATCGGATGCTGGAGACATGAAGCTGGGATGGGATGGGATGGGATTACCGTGTCCTGATTTGTCTGTTCCATTTAGATGCCTCTGTTAGTTACGGTAGTCTTATTGCTCCAGCACCTTATTGCTTATTGTAGGTGGAGTGCAGTGTATTTTGGGCGATCTACATCTCTCTGAAAGCTACTACCGAGTGTTTAGGGGATGCAAAAGGCTGCTGTTGTTAAAGGCCGGATGCTTGAAAACAAAAACCCAACGTGGAACCGTATTGCTCTCATTGAGAGTTGAGTTAAAACCTCCCGCTTACTAAACGGGTGCTCTAACCAACTGAGCTATGAGAGCCAAAATCAATTGTCAACTGTCAGTAATCGATTCATGATTTTTAGTGTCCCCAATAGGGCATACAATAACCTAATTACAAGGGAACAGAGAATGTGCCCACGGATAATACAGTATATGGCCATCAATGAGACAAGTGGTATCAATCAAGTCAGCACCGTCGGGGAGGGGGGTCAACCCTGAGGCCAACAGAGGAGCACTGCGAGCCACTAGCGGGCAGAGGCGGGCAGTACAGAAGCGAGGTCGGGCAGTCGGGCGAGGCACAAAGCATCTCCACCACTCGGAGCCACTCGGTGAAGGGAATGTTGGTGGAGAACTGCAGGCTGGCACAGTCCCTGCCCCTCTTCCTCAGATAATACTCCCGCCAAAAGTCCAGCAGCGCCCGAAAGTTTTTCATCACGCTCCCCGGGCCGACCCCGGTGGACAAATCTTCAGAGTTGGAAGAAACCGGGTCAGGCAGCAGAGAGGGGTTGATGAGAGCAGAGGACGGAGGCTTGGAGAAAAAAGAGGGTGAGCGTGAGGAGGGCGAGGAGGGCGAGGAGGGTGGAGAAGGGGAGGACGGGTTAGCAGGAGAGGAAGGGGAGGAGGGTTGGAGGAGGGTGGTGGAAGCGGCAAGTGATGCAGGCTGGGCCTTGTCGGCGGCTCGGAGGGCGGAGAGCAGAGAGAGGAGCTGCGCGTTGCGATTGGCGAAGATGAAGAAGATGAGTGCCGTGTTGAGCACACAGATGTTGTCCTGCATGGGGTGGGGGGGGAAAGGCGGGCGGGGCAAGGGTGGGAAGGGAGTTTGGGGATAAGAACAAGTTAGAGTGGTGCACACAAATGGTGTGCTGAGGAGAGTGGGGGATAATGAGGGCGAGGGATGAGAGTGGGAGACAGGGTGTTTCAAAACAGATGCGGAGGAAATGAGAACAATTGCTTCCCTTGTAAACGCTTTCACCACTTATGCCCCTCCCCCCCCCCCTCCGCACCACACAACCACAACCACGACAAACCCCAGCAACATACAACCCACAAAGACAGTCTGCAATGCACCCAGCACACCCCTCTCACCCCACATCGCACCCCTCATCCCCTCTCCCAGGGTGCGCTGTGCGCACCTGGTTGATGTCGCCCAGGCGCACGACGAGCATGAGGTCGCGCAGCAGCAGCACCGAGTTGCACTCCATGAACGCCGCCAGGGGCGATGCCAACTCCTCCTCCTCCTCCCCCACCACCGCCGACCCCTCCCCCATCACCCCCTTCCCCTTTGCCTTCCCCTTCGCCTCCCATGCACTTCCTCTCTCTGCACTCCTTCCCCCTTCCTCCACCTTCTTTTTCCCCTTCCTGTCTGCAGCCGCCTCTGCTGCTGACGATGCTTCAGCAACCCCACGTGGTGATGCACTACGGGGTGTGCCCTTGAGAGCCGACTCCTCTTCCCTCTCCCTGCCCCTTCTCTCTGTGCCCTCGCCTGAGCTGCTGTTGGCATCGCCACCATCCCCATCACCACCACTCCCGCCGCCACCAGCATCAGCATCAGTACCGTCAGCAGCAACTCTCGACTCCTTCTTTGCCTCCTCTTCCCCACAAGCAGCAGCAGAAGCAGCTGAAGAGGACCGCAGGTCAGGCGCAGGGCTTGAGGAGGACGATGCTAGCGACGGCGCAGCGGACGTGGATGGGATGGCGGGGGACAGCACAGGAGGGGGGAGCGCAGGCGTGGGGCAAGGGCCGAGGTAGGGCGGGGTGGGGAGGGCGGTGCGGAAGGCGTGGAGGGAGAGCATGACGGAGCGGATGAAGACGTTGGAGTCCACCAGGTGCGCCACCAGCACCTCGATGAACCGGCTGAACCGCTCGCCCTGCACCAGCGCCGCCAGCCGCCGGAACAGCACCGGGTTGAACTTGACGAGCTCGCCCAGCAGGTCAAAGTCGATCTGCAGGGACGCCGCACACTTAAAGCCCGACGCCCCTCGGAGAATCTCCTCCACGAGGTGCTCCATGAGGCCTGTGGCCGCGACCAGCTGCTGGTCACGCGGGTTGGAGCCTCGGAGAAACGCCTCGACACAGGAGGCGAGCCAGAAGCGGTACACGGAGTCGGCGGACTCCTTCATGAGCACTCGGATGATCTTCAGCATCAACGCCTCGTTCTTCCCCTCCTTGCCCGCCCCGCCCTCCACCACCCCACCTGCTCCCGCTGCTGCTGCTGCTTCTGTTGCACATGCTGCTGCTTGCGCGCTGCTTCCCTCTCCTCTGCTGGCGCCCACTCCCACGGCCTGGGGCAACACACCAGAGTCACCTGCGCCATCTCTGATACCCAAGCCAGGCAGCCACTGGTTTGGTGAAAACCCTAGCGCCCGCCCTAAGCTCGCCCCAAACCCCAGCGCATACCCGTGCTCCTCTCCCTCTCCCTCTCCTTGTCCCCGCCCCTGTGCGTTTCCCTCTCCCTGCGTGCTTCCCTGCACCCTCCCATCCACACCCCCGCTGCTGCCGCTGGAGCTGCTGCTGCCACCACTGATGGTCCCCCCACCACCAGCACCACCAGCAGCAACACCACCAGCAGGCATGCTTCCAAGGGTGCTTACACTTGCAGCGATACCCGGGGCAGCAATCAGGGGTGGGGTACCAGCAGCGAGGGGCGGTGGTACACCACCGGGCGAGGCGAGCAGCAGCTTGTTGTGCAGGTTGGGGCCGTCCCGGTCACAGAAGTTGTGAATGAGACGCAGGTACTGGATCTTCAGGGCCTGCGAGGGGTGCAGAGCAGAGCAGAGACGTGGAACGCGGTGAATAAAGGCGTTGAAGAGTCAGGAAAAAACAGTGGTTAAAGATGAGACACTGGGACTTGGGAGGACTTAGGGAGGTACAAAACGTGGAGCTGACGTGCAAGTAGATGCAGAGGGATGAAAAGGCGTAACACGGAGCCACACGTAAAGGCAAGGTACTGGCAGCCAGGTCATGCAGGCTGGCTGTGGAAAGTAGAGGAGAGCCAGGCTGTGCGAGGAGAGGCACTGACCGACTCGGGGTTGCAGGAGCAGCCGGGGCCGTGGATGCCATGGGGCTCAGCGGGCGGCGGCAGCGGGGCGGACCAGTTGAGGCGGTCAAACGAGTCCACGAGGATGCCCACCAGCCCCAGCGCCGCCAGCTGGTCCTGCACCGCCTCCTTGCGTTTGCCCCCGCACAGCGCACACAGCACGAATAACACCTCCACCTGCTGCTGCCGTCAAATGGGAGCACGTGCGCAACAGGCACACACGGACGCGAGTGACGGGAGAATGTACTGAGAAGCTGCAAGGCGGTGGGATATGACTGGCAATGCTGATTTGAATGCGGGAAAGGGCGTACCAGGCATGGAGCAGAACACAAACGGCCGCACTTGCCATTCAGTACCATTCCTTCCACAACATTTCGTGCATGCGATGCCATGCCATGCCAGTGCCCAGCCTTCTAGTCACCTCCCCACCGCTCACCTGCTGCTCCATGAACGAAGCAGCCATGTTCGTCGCCACAGCAGCAGGCCCCGCGCCCTCTGGTAACCCGATTTCGCCAGCCCTCAGGACAGTAACGGCGCCCTGGGGCAGCGCGCGCAGGAAGGGCTCCAGCTCGCCCTCGGGCACCTCCCCCAGCAGGCGCGGCGGGTTCCCCACGAACACCATCACCCGCGCGCCCGCGGGGATGCCCGCTCCTGCTGCCTCCGCGGCGGTTGCAGCAGCGGCGGGGTTGGCAGGCGCGGTGAGTGGGAGCAGGTTCAGGGGATTGGCGGTCATTGGAATGCCTGTAGTATTCACTTGGGGAAGCGCTCCCGGTTGGGTTGCAGTGGGTGGAGTGCGGTTGGGGGGCGGTCGAGGCGGTGAGGTGGAGGTTCCTGTAAGGAGGGTAGGATGGGGGGAGAAGGGCAGCACAGCGGCATGGGGGGAGGGGGGAAGCAGGGGTGGCATGCGGGGCGGAGGAGCGGCAACAGGCGGCGAACGCGGGGAGAAGGGCCCTTGGGTGGTATCTGCTGCTCCGCGTGGTGCCACTCCTGCCACAGGCACAGCAGCACCAGTTCGCCGTTGACTCACAGCCACAGCACCACCACCGCCATCTGGACCAGGCTCCTGCTCCTCACCTCCTTCCCCTGCGCCTCCTCTTCCCTCCCGCGCTGCTCCCCCTGGACGAAGTCCCCCTATGCCCCCAAACAGCCCAAACCCTCCCCAGAGATTCCCCCTGCCCGCCTGCCTGGCTGCCGCGCCAGAGGCCTCCGCCCCGCCATCTCCGCCGCCCCCCACTGCGCCAGCGCTCTCCGAAGCACCTTGTGCCGCGCCTCTGCCCCCCCCACTTCCTTCCGCCTCCCTCCCTCCCCCATTACCGCCACTGCCACCGCCAGTGCTATGGGTGCTGGTACCAGCATCGCCGGTCCCCCAGCCGAACAAGCCCTGGATGAAATGAATCGCGCCCGCAGCCGCACCCCCACCCGCGCTCTCCCTCCTCTCTCTCGCACCTCCCGACCTCTCCACACCATCTCCTCCACCCAAAAGCCTCCCCAACCTGGTCCCCTGCCGCTCGCCCCCACTCCTGCTCCCCCCTCCATGCACTTCCTCCCCCTCCTCTACTTCCCCCTCTTCCCGTCTCTCCTCCCCTTCTCCGCCCTCCTCGTCGTCCTCCCCTGCGATCTCCTCCTCAACATCCTCGTAGAACCCAGACCCTTCCCCTTCCTCCCCCTCCTCTCCCTCTCCCTCCCCCTCTGCCTCTGCCTCCACATCCTCGTCCTCCTCCAGCAACTCACCCTCCATATCAACCTCCTCCTCCACCTCCTCAACCTCCTCCTCCACCTCCTCATCCTCCTCCTGCTCCTCTTCCTCCTCGTACTCCTCCCCGTCCTCGTTATAGTCCTCTTCGTCGTCCTCTTCAGGCCCCCAGTCGGCAGCGGTCTCGTCTTCCCCAGCCATGAGGTCGCCCAGCAGCGGCTGCCACTCGCTCAGGCTGGGCGACCACAGGTCCGCCTCGCCGCTGCTCTCCATCTGCCAGTCACAGTCACAGGGTCAACACACCATCATGCACAGCGATACACAGCTATCGCACACTTATAACAATGTACTAATGGTGGTGCTGATCATCACGGAACAGACGAACGGAAGAAGCAAAACACTTTGGGGCTGTGAGCAAACACAGCGGGACCCGACCTGCAGCAGCTTGACGAGGTTGGCGAGGATGTCGGGGATGGCCAGCAGAACGTCGTGGTTGCCGTCCGCCACCGCCCACTCCGCCTCCCGCTCCGCGCGCTCCGCCGGGTCCGCGCCCTTCTGCAGCGCGGAGACCTCGGGCGCGCGGTCCTCGGGTTCGAAGACGACCATGGCGAGCACGCGGCAGAAGAAGGAGAGCTGCCGCGCCGACAGCCCGCGCACCAGGCGCGCGAAGTTGGGCACCGACCCCAGATTCAGCGTCTCCTCCCCCACCGCCAGGATCTCCTCCGCTAGCGCGACGGCTGTGACGGGGTAGAGGGGAGGACGCAAGCGGGGAAAGCATAGAACGAGCTCAAGACGAGATGCACGAAGAGCTAGAAAGAGCAACGAATCAGATGGGCAGAGAAACGAGAGACGGGAACTAGGATGCGCCAAGAGCATGAACGCGCAGGAAACGTGATGCGGAAGAGACAGAACGAGCTCGAAATCAGTCAAACCGAAGAAGTGTCGCTGGCCGGCATGCGACGCGCACTGTCCATCCATGGTGCGTACCGTAGTCGAATGTGATCTTATTCTCCATGAGCGCGAAGAGGCGGATGAGGAACTGGCGCTGCACGGACAGCCCCTCGGAGAAGCACGCGGACGCGAAGCACATCTCGCGCAGCACCGCCAGGCAGTCGTTGCGCATCATCCACAGCGCCGTCTCCTCGCGCGACGTCTCCCCCTCTCGTAGCGTCCCCGACTCCCGCGATCCCTCCGCGCTCTCCGTGCGGAAAATCCCACGGCGGTTCCGCGATCCCCCCCCAACCCTTCCCCCTCCGTCAGATCCCGCTGCTGCTCCCGCGGTAAGTGCCGTGGAGCTTCCTTCGCGACCTGTTTCGCGAGAATTCGCGAACGGCGAGGAGAGAATGCGGATGAAGAGGGTGTCACCTCCGCAGTAAACGAACCAGTCACGGCTGCTCTGCTGGTTGCTACTCGAAGACTCCCCGATGTTGCGGAAGATCCGGCCAATCACACTTCTGCACGCTTCTAGATCGTTCGCCAAAAAATGCGATTCGACATCCTTGCATAAGCCAGCCATGCCATGAGACAACGCGTAGAGCCTTTGATAAAGAGGCTTCGGAAGACGACGGATGCTCTTAATACTTCTGCCGGAGATCTGGCCATAAGCGACGGAAGCGAAGACGTTCCTATCGCGTCTGGATCTGAGAGAGCGTTTGCCGGTCGACAAGGGTAACGCCAAGGGACCCATGGCGTGTCGCTGTAGTCACGGGCCTTCTGTGCGGAAAACCTTGCCGATCCTTGCTTAAACGCTTCCTCCAAAAGCTTGCGCCAGGAGTTGTTCACTCTACTAATCGTTACAGACAGACGACGCCGCCTGCCGCTGTAATGAGCGTAATGGCTAATGTTGAAGGGAGATGTCAACGCGTTCTGTCGACCAAAGTTCTGGCGAAGCTGCGGCTACTCCTGCAGATTTGAGGTGCGACGTACGGCAGTAAATCCAGTGAGTCCAGGGATGAATAAGTCCGCGAGGTGGTCTTCCGCACTCCGCTGGCGTCTGGATCACGCAAGGCTTCTCACGCCATCCAGGCGCAGACTGTAACGATACAGCGTGACTCGAGCTAGAAGCTGATGTGCACAAGCCTTCTAGACTTACAAGTATACTATGGTGGATTGAGCTAGTAGATGACGCAATCCAATCAACTTGACCAACGCTACACCACCAGCCAGAGAAAGGAAAGGAACCCTAACCTCGAAGCCAGTGCTGCTGCGAGAAAAGTGTGGTGGACTGAAGAAAGTGAAGGATCTGGCTGGAGTGCAGCAGCAATGACCACCTCACTCGGCTATGTACTGGTCATAAGGAGGACCCAGCGAAGCATGCACGAAGAGCTATACGAGTTACAAGTTCTCGAACAGCATTCGCGAATCAGACCAAGGCAGCTGAGCGCGGGGAGACGCCGTTCTGGTTTTCTTTAGGGACTTCAGTTTTCCCAGGGCCAACAGATACCCTGGTGTAGAAGTGTCAGGGACTTCTGCCGCGAATGGTTCTGGAAGTGACAGAATCGAGTCACAATAAGCTTCGACGGGCTCTAGATTTCAGTTTCCAGTGCGAAAACAAAATACTGCGGAATGCCCTAATATTCTCAAATCTCCGGGCGAGCCAGGAATTCCAAACATCGCCTTCCCGCGAACGACACCCCCGACACCATTGTGCGCGAGGGCGGGCTTGCGCCAGCTTCTCTGCAGCAGATCAGGCGCGCAAAATTGTCAGACCAGCGCACAGCACACCACACGGTCAGATATATGTCGGCTTTCGCACACGGTCGCACACATTCCCGGGCCGCAGCCGAGTGGATCTCTCAGGTGTCAGCTTTCGCACACTGTCGCCGTCACAATCGCGCAACCCCTACCAATCCAATATCGAATGTGATCGGCAATGTGAAGCATCTCCAAACTCGAGAAGCTCCCAACCAACCATTTTGACATGTGTGCTTGCTTGAATCGATTGCGCTAGGTGTCGCAGTAGCGCCATGGTGCTGGAGAATTTCTTGGCTTGAATGGCGCGATTCCAAACGAGCTGGGACACGCACGCTAGCATGGTGCCAATGATGTGAATCTCCTAACGCGCATCACGCCATCAATCTCCCGAAGAATGTCGTAAGCTGAGTCGCGATCGTTAGACCGCATCAGAAAATGTTTGCGAGGCTTTTCTTGAGTTCATCAGCCCACTCACCTCCGAACTTCAAGATCTCAACGATTTTCGAATGGCTACAAACCCCTCTTCCAAACCCGTTCTTCCGAGCACCGCAGGGCGAGCGCAACGGACGGCTTGCCATGCGCGCGGATTATGCATGTCCGTGAAGTTGTTTCAGCGGGGCAATCCATAGCCGGGATGCTCGTAAGGGTGACAGGCAGGTACAGTTGCACTGCTCTGAAAATTCTCTTTCGCCGTTGCGAAGAAATCATGAATACCAAAATGTAGCTGAGCTGCGAGTGTTTCAATTCGTGATGCCCCGTCTCTCTTCAGGATCCGACCAATAGCAGGGGGTGATGAAACGCGCATCAGGATAGAGGGTGGGTCTGGAGCTCTGCTCGTTGTAGACACGTCCCGTATAGTCACACCTGGCATGCGCCCTAACAGTCTGTTCCAGTTTCTGGGGAAGGTCGATTGGAGAGAAGACGCGGCAGAGGAAGACAAGATGGTGAGCTGGTGCCGAGGAGTGCCATGTGCCTGCCTGCCTGCTCACTTCCTGCTAAGTTGACTACAGTCTCAAAAATACCATGATAGATCACACCTCTTCTCTACAAGCACTCAAGAAGTTGTCTCTGCTAGATGGTGCACGTTCCTAATGGCATTCAGAATGCACACTTCTGCCTTCCCTCGCTTCACCAACCCGCAGTCTGCCCCCACCCAAGCCCACCGTCTTCCCCCCCACCTTTTTGTGTGCCTTGAGTCAGTCACAAACCCTCCTTTTAAGTTACTTGCAAACTCTGCAGGAGGCTTTGAGGCATCTCCAACTTCATTCACCTTCCTCCTCTGCCCCCGGCTTCCCCTGCAGGTGCTACTAGCGCAGCTGGGGCGGAGTGTGGAGGGCATGGACGAGGGGCTGTTTGAGAGGGCGCTGGAGCTCAAGCGGCAGTTCGAAAGCGCTGCCAGAGCTGCCAGGTAGAATGGGCTATGCGGCAAATGGGGAGGCCACTATTGTGCACGCCGGCAGCGCCAGGAATGATGAGTGGAGGGCATGGACAGAGGGGCTGAATGACAAGCGCTGGAGTCTGGAGCTGAAGGGGCACTATGACAGCACCGCTAGAGCCGTGGGTTTGATGGAAAAAGAGAGTGTAGAGTGGTCATGTGCTGGGATTTGTAGTTGTGCTGAAAGCTGCAACTAAACATGCCATGCATTTGGCATGCACAACCTTAAGCTATCAGTACGTTTATTACAGCGTCACATGCAGCAGCATGCTGCAATGCAGGAAAAATGTAGCCTAGAGAGGGGCTAATTACAAAGGCATGCATGGCTCGCACATGGCTATGCAATACAATAAGACGGGCTCTTGCCATGCACTCGGCACAACTTGATTTCGCACGGCATGGCAAGGGCTTGACCCGGCCTGTATAGGGGTTGGGTTGGCCCGTGTGGATTGGCATACAGAAGTGCAGGGGTGCAGGGAAGCAGGTGCAGGGTGTGGTGCAGCAGGGGCATCAGGAGTCGATCTCCTGAGGCAGCTTAGCCTTGCCCAAATACACATACTCCATCTCCGCCTCCCATGCCTGCACGCCAACAGGGGGACGGGGGGCAGCGAAGGAGCCGCAGCAATGACTCTCTTGAGACGCACACACACCTCATCTCAACAAAGATGCTTGGTGACTCTGAGTCAAGTGACAAGTCAACCCCGAGCCATGCCACACAGCACATCTCTGTTCAAGGGGAGCGGCACACTGTAATGGCATCGTGATGCACTCTCTGCATTTCCCAAATATGCATAACCCACATCCTCCCAGGCGTGAATGAATGGAACGGGCTGTGCGTGCGCACACCAAACTCCTAGAAATGCGATTGCACTCACAGGGGTGCAATCCACCTAGTGACAAAGCCACTTGGTTGTGACAAGGCTTTCCTCTAGCAAAGGCGTAACCTGGTAGCAGCGAAACGCATGAGCCACTCAGCCACTCGTGAGTCGTCACCTGGCGGCACCCACCCACAGCACGCCACTCACATCACCTGCTAGAGGATTCACACCCCACCCAGCCCTGGTAGCGCCCCCACGGCACCTGGTAGTGGAACTCGCCCCACCTGGTAGCGGAACTCGCCCCACCTGGTAGCGGAACTCGCCCCACCTGGTAGCGGAACTCGCCCCACCTGGTAGCGGAACTCGCCTCACCTGGTAGCGGAACTCGACGCGGATGTGCGGCACGTTGGTGCGGTGGATGTCATTGCTGTCCGGGCCGCGCAGGAAGTAGCGCGGCCCTATCCAATGCGCCTGGGGGCAGGGGGCCAAGCACGAGAGGAGGAGGAGAGAGGGTAAGATTGTGGTGGGTGATACTGTAAAATGTGACCATTGAGTCGTTTCAGGGGGCGGATGAGGAGAGGGGGCAATTGCAAAGCATGACGCATGCTGCACGAAACCTGGATTGTGGCGCAGCATCACAGCAACCTGGATTGTGGCGCAGCATCACAGCAACCTGGATTGTGGCGCAGCATCACAGCAACCTGGATTGTGGCGCAGCATCACAGCAACCTGGATTGTGGCGCAGCATCACAGCAACCTGGATTGTGGCGCAGCATCACAGCAACCTGGATTGTGGCGCAGCATCACAGCAACCTGGATTGTGGCGCAGCATCACAGCAACCTGGATTGTGGCGCAGCATCACAGCAACCTGGATTGTGGCGCAGCATCACAGCAACCTGGATTGTGGCGCAGCATCACAGCAACAGGCGAGGCAGGCAGGTACCTTGGTGGGGTGCCAGAAGCCCGACTGGTACACGGAGTTGCGCGCGATCTCACAGAGGTCGCATGATGTCAGACGCCACACCTGGTGTGCGCGAGGGGGAGGAGGGGAGGAAAAGGGGATCGGGGTTAAGTAGGTTTTGGAGAGAGAAAAGAGGAGCGCGGTGAAGGAAAGGAGGATGAGAGGAAGTTGTTTTCAGATGTGGCAGGAGGTGAGGCGCCTCTTGTGATGCACACGAGGGACGGAGATGCTGGGAGGGGGCAGCTAAGCAGAGAGCAAGGGGATTGGTGGCAACATGGATCACTGGCAAACCATGAGTGGAGCGAGTGGGTTCCAACACCCACCTGAGCGGCGATGCTGTACTCCTCGACGAGCGGCTCCTTGGTGAGGTGGATCATGAGCGGGTCGTCCGTGGAGAGTGACACGTTCAGCCCGCGCGCAAAGAACTGCGGGAAGGGGTTCTTGTGGTAGTCCAGGAACAGCGAGTTGTTGCTCAACGGGGACATGGCGAGCCCGATCTGCGCCAGGTAGTAGAGGTGCTGCAGGGCGGGCGTGCGGCGCAGGTTGTTGCCGTGCGCTATGTTGTGCGCCGTCAGGAAGGTGGCTGCTAGATGGTCCACGTCTCCCGCCTGCCGTGGGGAGCACATGGGGGGCCCGGGCGGGGTTTGGATGGGGGAACGGGGGTTAAGGAGGGGAGTGGAAGGCAGAGAGCAAGGTGAGAAGAGGCTTGTTGCTGCGGGAAATGGTGTGTGATGTGGTTTGGGTGACACCTCGCACAGCTCCCCACTTTATCACCCCACCCCCCCCCCCCCCCTTTTTCCCCTGTCATTCCATCTCGCCTCCCCCTCCCCCTCCCCATCTCACCTCAACCCCCCCAGCCTCACCTCTCCAGAGTGCGGGCGGAACTTGAGGATGGAGAGGCCCTTGGACTCGCGTAGCTGTGCTCGAGGGGGGGAACGGGGGAGAGGGGGAGGTGCAGGGCGAAGAGTGACGGATGGGGACGAGAGAGCGGCCGAGGAAAGGGGGCGAGCACGCGGATAGAGGAAGGAGAAGGCCAAGGGCAGAAGATTGGGATGCGAAAGACTTTCAGAGATAAACTACCTGTGAATACGTAACGCCACATGGGGCGACGTGGGGTGGGTTGCAGAAGAGGCTTTGCAAGTTAGAAACAGTGTGATAGGCAGGAATGGACAGCAGGCAGGATGAGAGCACGCCAACGGGCAGAGTGAGGGCAGAGTGAGGGCAGAGTGAGGGCAGAGTGAGGGCAGAGTGAGGGCAGAGTGAGGGCAGAGTGAGGGCAGAGTGAGGGCAGGGCAGGGCAGGGCAGGGCAGGGCAGGCAGGGCAGGGCAGGGCAGGGCAGGGCAGGGCACGGACGCGGTTGAGTTTGAGGAGGTTGGCGTAGACGTAGTAGGTGTAGTAGGCGTAGGCGGGGTTGAAGGGGTTGGTCCACTCCGCCGGTGTTATCATGTGCTTCGTGGGGCGGCGCTCCGGACGGCTCTCATCGTCCACCATGTCAAACCCCACCACCTGGTCATGGGCAGGGCAGGGCAGGGCAGGGCAGGGCAGGGCAGGGCAGGGGACACACGGGGGGTGCCGTAGAGGGTGTTAAGCGACGCAGAACATGCGGGCCACGGTGTGAGAGCACGTTCAGCTTTTCAGACACGGTGACGGACTGCTCTATGCAGTGCAGTACGACAAGTGACGTGGCACTCACGTGGTTGAGGAAGATGTGGAGGTGCGGGTGCGAGGAGGGGTCGACGGTGACTTGGAAGAGCGGCAGGAAGATGTTGTCCAGCATCGTCTGGAACGACGCCACTATTCCCATGTCCTTGTACACGTTGTATAGGCGGGGGAGCTGCCACGCATGGGGGGGATGGGGGGGAGATAGACAGATGGACAGAGAAGGAGAAAGGGCGGGAAGGGAAGCAGGTACTGGGGAGGCGCGGGTACCAAGGGAGGCAAAGAGAGGGGAAGCGGCAGAGAGGGGCAAGGAGGGAAGGTGCTGGGTGAAGGGATGGCGAGGCTGGCTGACTGTAACATGCATACCCGTAACAGCCGACCGAATCACACGCATACAAAACCACCTGACCCACCTGGATGAGGCGCCCACCTGGATGAGCCAGACGACGTTGGGGCAGTAGAGGTCGTTGTTAACCACCCAGCTCGCCAGCTGGTCCCACTCGCTCATCTTGCGCCCGTAGATGGACACCCTGTACTCCGCCATCTGCCCCGCACACAGGGGGGAGGAAGGCACGGGAGGGAAGGGGAGAGAAAGGCAGGGGAATGGGGGAGGTATGGCAGCATGTGAGGCAGACGCAGAAGCACAAGCAGAGAAGCAGAGGGAGGAGGGGATGTGGATGGATTGACACACAGCACTCCCCTTGAATGACATTGGATGAAGTGACAGGGAAATGAAGTGACAGGGAAATGAAGTGACAGGGAAATGAAGTGACAGGGAAATGCAGTGACAGGGAAATGAAGTGACAGGGAAATGAAGTGACAGGGAAATGAAGTGACAGGGAAATGCAGTGACAGGGAAATGCAGTGACAGGGAAATGCAGTGACAGGGAAATGCAGTGACAGGGAAATGAAGTGACAGGGAAATGAAGTGACAGGGAAATGCAGTGACAGGGAAATGCAGTGACAGGGAAATGCAGTGACAGGGAAATGCAGTGACGCTGAGGACGCCTTATTGCACCTCGCCTCCCGAGCGCCTAACTACCTTGCGCCCCTCACCTGGTACTTGGACGCCACTCCCCTCACCTGGTACTTGGACGCCACTCCCCTCACCTGGTACTTGGACGCCACTCCCCTCACCTGGTACTTGGACGCCACTCCCCTCACCTGGTACTTGGACGCCACTCCCCTCACCTGGTACTTGGACGCCACTCCCCTCACCTGGTACTTGGACGCCACTCCCCTCACCTGGTACTTGGACGCCACTCCCCTCACCTGGTACTTGGACGCCACTCCCCTCACCTGGTACTTGGACGCCACCAGATCCGTGAACACCTCCTTCGTCACCTCCGCCAAGAACCTTCCTGGAAGGTGGTGAGGTTGGTGGATAGATTTGAGACGTCGCACAAGATGAAGGGGCGAGCGGGAGCCGCCGGGGAAAGGGTGTGAGCGGAGGGGAGAGGGTTAATAGGGTGGAGGTGGAGGAAGGAGGAAAAGGCTATTGAGGGGAAAGATATCGAAGGGAAAGAGATGATTGCAGGGCGGCAGGAGAAGCGAGTGGGAATAAAGTGTAAATATATTGTATGTGCAATTCACCCTGAATGAGGTTGTCCTGCTTGATGAAGATCTCTCTGAGTCGGCTCTGCCCGCACGGGTTGTACTTGAGGTTGAACTTGTCAAAGCGGTGGAACGTGTTCTTGTCCGCGTGCACGTCCAGCAGATCCACGTTCAGATCGTAGCTGTGAGGGGGCGGGGGGGGGGAGGTTGAGAAGAGGGTAAGGGGAAAGAGGGACGCGATAACCAAGGGGGATGTAGGGCGAGGGAATGAGAGGGACGTGACTGACTGCATGAACGTGCATCCAGAGGGGTGAGACTGAGTTCAAGCGGGTGGGTGAGAGGGGTTGCGGCGGACAGGCACTGACCCGGTGAGGTCGAGGCTCTCAAAGACCTCCTTGAGCGTGAGGTACTTGCCGTCCCGGAAGATCACCACCTGCCCACGCCACACACCACGCATTCATGCCGAGCACAGGTAGGCACGCACGCAGGCATGAATGAATGAGTGAAACCCGTGGCTGAACGAAACTTATGGATGCACGCCCTGTGCCGCCCATTCCTGTCCACCACGCTCCCTCATCCTCGCCCTGTCCCCACCCCAATCCCCCACTCCCCCACGTCCCAATCCTTCAACCCCCCCACCACCCCTGCCCTCTGACCTCGTCGGGCTCCTTGCGCAGCTTGGACTTGATGAAGCGCAGGAGGTGCTTCTGGTTCATGCACGCGCTGTGGTGCACGTGCGTGTCCACCTTGCGCACGTTGTACAGGTCGCGGTGCGGTGCGCTCTTCTGCGCCTTGAACTCGCGGTCCGCGTTCAGCGTCAGGTGCAGGTGGTACCGCTGGAGGGGGGTGCGACAAGGGGGCGAGAAGGGGGGCGAGGGGGGGGATAATGGGCAGTGGGGGAGAGAATGGGCACACAAAGGTTGGGGGGGCACATAGAAGAGAAGCAGTGGAGTGACAGTCCGTGCTGGGCCATGCATGCATCCCAGCACACTCTCCCAATCAACCCCACCATCCCCCACTTGCTCCAGAAGCAACAGGTAAGCACAATGCAACAGGTAAGCAGAATGCAACAGGTAAGCAGAATGCAACAGGTAAGCAGAATGCAACACAAGCACGCACCCAAATTGGAGCGGCACAATGGGTGCTGCTTCCATGTGTGTGGAGCGGCACAATGGGTGCTGCTTCCATGTGTGTGTTCCTGGCGCGCCCACCTACGTGGAGGTCTGACAGGGCTGACTGACCTGCTCGAGGAGGCGCAGGCGGTGGAAGCAGAGGGAGCGCACGTGGCCGAGGGAGGTGATCTTGAGGATGCGGTGCAGATCAGTGAAGAACGTTGTGGCGTCGTGCACTGGGAACAGCTCCTCGCCCCGCTCCTTGGCTGACCGGGGTGGCAGGCAGACGGAAATGAGGTGGCATCGCATTAGCTTGTGATGTTTAGAAAATGGAGGAGAGCTACAAAGAAAGTGGCGGCATTGTGAACTACTGCAAACGCTGCTGCACAAACTGCTGAACACACTATACAACGAACCGGCATCAGTGAAGCATGTGAGTGACTCACCGTCCTTGTCTGCGAATATCTTCACCACGCCATCCACCATCTCTATCACATGCTGCCATGCCGTGGCAGGGGGCACACACCACGCGAACACCATGCACAGTGCAGCAAGAGACACACAAAGGTGACAATAACTTGAGCTTCCCGAGCCCAACTATGGTTTCTAAACATACCACACAACAACCGTTTCAAGGGAGCGACTGGCATGGCATGGGAGGCCAAGAGCAGAGGGAAGGGCGAGCAGCGGGAGGGGCTGGTAAGGTGTGGGGAGGGCGGGAGGGGGTGATTCACATGGGAGGGCGGCAAGGGGTGGCTCACATGGGAGGGCGGCAAGGGGTGGCTCACATGGGAGGGCGGCAAGGGGTGGCTCACGTCGGAGGGCGGGAGCGGGTCGTAGCGGAAGGGGTCGCTGGGGTCGGGCATGGGCAGTGCGTTGGCGTCGGCATGCCAGGGCTTGACGGCCTCCCTGAACACGTACTTGTCCCTCAGCTGCAGACACTCCTGCAGCAACACACACACCTCCTCGTCCTCCGCACTCGGCATGTCTGCCCGGGGAGGGGCGTGAGGGAGAGGGGGGTGGCGATGGGATGGATGGTGAGGAAGAGGAGAGCCATTCGCCACGCACACCTCAAGTGACAAGCGCGAGAGGGATACGACAGAGGGTGGGTGGGAGAGCACACAAGGGTTGGAGAGGTGAGGCAGCGCATGCAATGCACCTTGCGGGTAGAGGTTGAGGCGCACCTTGCGGGTAGAGGTTGAGGCGCACCTTGCGGGTAGAGGTTGAGGCGCACCTTGCGGGTAGAGGTTGAGGCGCACGTAGTCCTCCACCTCTGGCGCCTTCCTGAGCCGGTCCGCCGTGCCCGGGTCGGACACGGGGTGGTGAATGCTGTCCTGCACGCTCACCGCCCTCTTCACCCGCGCCTCCCCCCGCCCCTCCGCCTCCTTCTCCGCGCCCTCCCCGCCCTCCCCCTCGTCCCCCTCCTCCAGCTCCTCCACCATCACCTCCTCCCCCTCCTCCCCCATGTCCTCCTCTTCCGCCTCCTCCTCCGCCTCCTCCGCGCCCATCCCCCCCACCACGGACGAGTGCGCGCTCACCGAGCGAGGCGGAAGGAGCTCACCTTGGAAATTTCCTGGGGGAACGGGGCAAGGAAAGCGAGGGAGGGAGGGAGGGAGGGAGGGAGGGAGGGAGGGAGGGAGGGAGGGAGGGAGGGAGGGAGGGAGGGAGGGAGGGAGGGAGGGAGGGAGGGAGGAAGGGAGGGAGGAAGGGAGGGAGGAAGGAAGGGAGGGAGGGAGGGAGGGAGGGAGGGAGGGAGGGAGGGAGGGAGGGAGGGAGGGAGGGAGGGAGGGAGGGAGGGAGGGAGGGAGGGAGGGAGGGAGGGAGGGAGGGAGGGAGGGAGGGAGGGAGGGAGGGAGGGAGGGAGGAGGGAGGGAGGGAGGGAGGGAGGGAGGGAGGGAGGGAGGAGGAGGAGGGAGGGAGGGAGGGAGGGAGGGAGGAGGGAGGAAGGGAGGGAGGGAGGGAGGGAGGGAGGGAGGGAGGGAGGATTTGGGCAGGAATCGCATTCACCAAAGGAGGCGAAGAAGAGAGCGCCACCACGGGAGTGCGCGCTCACGCAGCAAGGGGCGGCCTGAGGGGGATGCGCGGAGTGGGCCAGGGACCATCCGCGCGCTAGCCCCTCCCGCGCGCTTGACAGCACTCTGCCCTCTCGCGGATGAATGGGCCTCGCGCACAGCGACAGGGCGGCGGGATGGGCGTGCGGCGGCGGCGGGAGCGCACGCACCTTCTCGCAGCCCCGACGCCACTGCCGCCGACGCGTTCGCCGCCGCCAGCCGCGCGGCGCTGAGAGCCTGCATGTCCTGCCGGTCCAGCGAGGACGCAAGTTTCCCGGGCAGACTGCCCGGACTGAAACTGCCCGCGAGCGGGTCGAAGGCGTAGGGATTGGCGGCGTTCGACTGGGAGTTTCGGTGACTCCGCTGCTGCGGGCGCAGCGGCACGCCCGGGGTGGGCGCAGCTCGGCGCGCAGGGGCGGTCGTCACCTTGCGCATCTTCTGCGGCTTCAGCTGCGGGGGAGAGGGGGGGGGGGGGGGGGGGGGGGGAGGGGAGAGGGGGGGGGGCAGATGGCGGAAAGGAAACGGGCGTTGGGCGCAAGAAAAACAGGGTTAGGGCAACGGCTTGGCGCGCAACAGCGGGTGGGGTCACAGACGGAAGGGCGGCAGGGGTCACGGGGGGAGCGCGCGTCCTTCGTTGCGTGCATCTCGCGCGAGATGCACGAAACGCACCTTGCCATCCTGCTCGGCGAACTTCGCGAGCGCCTGCGAATGGAAGTAGTACGACGCGGCTGCCGCCACCACGGCGCCAGATCCTGCGGCCAGCAGAAGCGCAGCCCAGTTGCTGCCGTCAGAGGCTGACGTGGCATTACCCGCGTGTGCCATAGCTGAAAGATGAGGAAGCGGGGGCAATGTAAGCAGGCCTAAACTACACGCAAATATAGAAAACTGCGGAATTGAGGAGCGGTCCGCCTATACCGCTAACCCCAAAGCGCAGCACAGCGAGCCGCGAACAGAAGGAGGCGCGCCGTGAGGTGAATGCATGTGAAAGAGTATAGTGGGCCTTGCAGTAGGGACTGCACGGTTGGGGTTGAACGCGGGCTTTGGTTGGGCTAAGGTTTGTGGGCAGGGGGGAATCCAGGTTTGTGGGTGGGGGTGATACCACCGTTTATAAACGTAACTAATCGTTTCAAACTTTACAAGCACCGCTGTGTTCTACTCTCTTAACTGATGGCACCGCTCAGCTGTGTGTGAGGTGTGTGATTGGGGGAGATGTCGTGGAGGGGAGCTAAGCTGATGTGGTTGAAGACTCTGATTGAACCACAGTGAACGTCCTTTTAGCGAGATAGCGAATAGGAGGGAGTAGATGATGGGGGATATTTGCTGCTTACTCTACAGATTCCCGTGCTGCCAAAAAAGCGCATCCGCTAATGACTATAACGACGCTACGAGACATGCATTACTTTGCTGAATACACTAAAGTAGTCACTAAGAAGTTTCCATGTTCAGTGGTTCAGGCACAGCCTCAAATGTAGGAAATTGTTCTCTCAGGAGCCAGGGGACGCCGTGTCTCACGCAAGTCGACAGAATTCTAGCTTTCCCGCCATGTTGTTTGCCTGAAGCGGAGATTGCGCTCTTCCCGTGGTTGTACGCGACACGACGTGCTCGTCATCTTTCTCCAGATAGAATTTGTCAAGGGGCATGAAACAAGGGACGTTCCATCCAATCAGGGCCTTCTGCCCCTCAAATTTTAGCGACACGCAATTATGGGTACACTCTACATGGGTCGTTTCATGCTGTTCTTGCCTCCACCAGCCAGCAGTGCTCGGCGCAAAATTAGGGCGTGTTAAATCGCCACACAATTCCGAAAATGGGGTTTGGCCGAATTTTCGACGACCAAATGGTCGTCATATTTTTCGCGAACAACTTTGACAGCCAAAATATACAGTTTTGGTAATTGAACAACTTTGGTGGCCGAATTGCAGGCTGGTTCGGAAAAGTTGTTAAATTTGCAGTTACTACAGTAGTTTGGTATGTGCAACGGGGTCGTACTTTTGAAGGCGATATTTCTCATTTGTCGCGATCACAAATTCTGTCGTTGGGCGAAACCATACGACGTCGCAGGCGTTCGTCGCACACTGTGTCGACTACTTGGCCGTTTTGGAGTCGACTCGGCGTCGTTTTCGTGTCGACTTTTTAAACGGCCATCAAATTCGTTATTTTTTTACGAAGTTTGCGACAGTCGCCACTTCACTTACGAGTGTCGCAATCTGGTTACATTTGCATAAACGGCCCGACGGATTGTGGCAGATTTTTTGGAGTTTGCGACTTAACACGCCCTTACGAGCCCCACCAGTATACCTGTAGGAAAGGATCCCAGCTTTGGGGCAGTGGTAGAGTTTTACGGCGAGATCGTCCAACTTTTCCAATCTGGCCGATCGTGACCGTAGAAACAAACAAATCTTCGACAAAGCCGACGTTCGTTTCCCAGTCAGAGATGAGCCACACTGCAGTTGTTGCCTACTCTCCTGCCAGGTGTCTTTCGCTGCCTTATACTTTGGCCATCCTATCGCCATCCTTCTCACCGTCCCTAAAGGGTTTTTTTTGGGATTCCTTCGCCATTTTTTCCGAGTATCATCTAGGCCGGCCGCAGCCTCTACTATTATTAGCACAAGGCAGCGCCCTTCGAGTCGTCGGGACCTTTTACCCGCAAGGCTCGTTTCTCCTTGCCGTATCGTCGCGTAGTTCGCTGTCTCTTACACTATCACAATAATCCCCACCTCATCCATCTCCATTCCTTCAACCACACCGGTCATCTTCTTGAGTGCCCGTTCTTTTCGTCGCTTCCACTCTGCAGTGCTCTTCTTACCTACCTTCTTTGAGTCGACTCAGAAACATTCTCATTAAAGCCCTGCGGCCTTCCAGCTCCTCGCCCTTTAGCGTGCTCACGGCATCATCGGGGCATTGCCGCCCTCGGCATTGTTTACCTGACTGAGCGCTCTGCTACGGCCGTGCTGGGTGTGCGTGCGGAGCACGACCATCTGCCCTTTCCGCCTCCTCCTGCGCCGCCATGCCGCGCCCTCACGCTCCCCTCATTGCACTCCCCCGCCTTTGCGCCGCGATTCTTTGCGCTGTCGCCGCTTTTTTCCCCGCGGTCGCTGCCGGCACTCCCGCCGAAGACGTCGCCGCGCTTCTCGCATTCAAGGCCGCCGTCACCAACGACTCGCTCGGTGCGCTTGACTCGTGGATCGACGGCCCCACCGCTTGTGCGTTTAATGGCGTGTCTTGCAATGGGAAGGAGCCGGACCGCGTCACTTCGATCTCGCTGTCGCAGACGTTTATAGAGGGACAGCTCACATCGGATCTCGGGAGTCTGGATCAATTGGAGCGGCTGGAGCTGGATGGTAACCAATTTTCGGGCGACATTCCCGACGAGCTTAGCCTCCTGACAAAACTTAGCGTGCTGAACTTGGCGCAGAACAGGCTGACAGGGCAGTTGAAAGAGATTATGTCAGCACTCGTCGGCCTCCACTCCCTCTCCCTCTTCTCGAACCTCCTGACCGGTAGCTTGCCCTCACAGATTTTAAAACTGCCCGACCTTGAGTTGATTGACGTCAGCGACAACCAACTGACTGGCGGTCTGCCCGGAAATGTTTTTCGTTTCGCAACTGCCCTGACATCCCTTTCCGTGGGGGTGAACAGCATGTCGGGGCCGATCCCAAGCACCGTATCCGCCATGTCGTCGCTCGTGTCGCTCGACCTCCGCGCCAACAATTTCTCCGGCGCGCTTCCTTCCGCCCTCGGCCGCCTCCCCCGTTTAGAGTACCTCGATATAACAGTGAACCAGTTCAGTGGTGGAATTCCCGGCAGCTTTGATAATCTTGACTCGATACAAGCACTTATTATGGCGAACTGCGGCTTATCGGGCCACATCCCTTCGACTTTCTTCACGGGCCTATCAGACACCCTTCAAGTCCTCGATTTGGGCATAAACGCGTTCACAGGCAGCATTTCCCGCTTCGCTACTCTGACAGAAGCCATCTACATCGAGCTATCCGATAACGAGTTCACGGGGGGCATCTCGCCCGCGTTCGGGTCGCTGCCCAAGCTGCAGCAGATCGGCGCCTCCAACAACCAGCTCACGGGCTCTCTGCCGTCCGCCCTCGCAAACGCGCCGAGCCTTGGGAGCATCCTCTTCGACGGAAACCGACTCACAGGTTAGGAATCTTTCCCCATCCCCTTGTCCCTTCTCTTCACTTCCTTCCCATACGTCAGTTGTACATCTCCCACTTGCGCCGTCTACCCCTTTGCTCTCTTTCCCTCCCCACCCACAACTCCAACAGTCCTTTCTGTTCACTCCTTCTCTCAATCCCCTTAGTCCTTCTCCCCCCTCACTTCCCGTCCTCCTTTCTCCCCTCCTTCCCTTCCACCGCCCACACCCTCCACCCGCCCCACACGCCAGGCAAGCTGTCCTCGGCGTTTAGCTGTGCGAAGCAGGGGCTGATGGCGCTCTACCTGGGCGGCAACCAGCTGCACGGCGCCATCCCCGCCGCGCTCGCCGGCTGCAAGGACACGCTGTACCAGCTGGACCTCTCCAACAACTCCTTCTCCGGCGCCATCCCCGCCGCGCTGGGCCACCTGGCCGAGGTGCGCAACTTCTCACTGGCGCACAACAACCTGTCGGGCGGCATCCCTGCGTCGCTGGCGGGCATGCGCAGCATGGAGGTGCTGGACCTCGCCTTCAACCAGCTGCAGGGCGCCATCCCCGCCGCGCTGGGCCAGCTAGACGGGCTGCACGAGGTGCATGTGCAAGGCAACGACCTGTCTGGCCCGCTTCCCTCCCAGTGGGCTGCCTTCCCCGTGGCGTCCTTCACTCCTGGAAACATGGGACTGTGCGGCGCTCCTTTGCCTGCTTGTGCTGCAGCGAGAAGGCTCCTGGCTCTTGCATAGCGCACCAGAATAGTCAGAGGCTCACCCAAGGAATATCTGGAGAAACCTACTTCCATGGCCTGTCTAGGTGCCCTATACCTTGCTTGATGCAGTGCTGATGGAAGCGGTGGTCGGCTGGTGTGGGGGAAACCACCATCACCAACTCCACTGCTCCTCTACCTTCTGTGCTGCAGTGTCACACCATCTCCGTGTGCATCCCTGACTTCGTCTTCCTGCAACACAGCCCGTATCATCTTCTATATGTATGAATTGGCTGTATACAGCTTGTTGTGCAAACCAAAGCCACATCAGGAACAATACATCATATCTCAAAGCCTTAGAACCTACCGTACCGTACCCAAATACCGTATTCCCCCGGACATACCACCCGCCGAAATAGAGCACCCCCCGGGTGGCTTGTGCGGGGGGGGGTGCTATAGCGGACCTCGTTTCTACTATACCCCCCTTTTGGGGTGAATTTTCTATAGCACCCTCCTTTCATACAAAATTTCTAATTATAGCTGTTAGCGAGTACTGCAGAACATCGCGGAAATAACTTCCGCGATGAAATTTCATGGTAGTTTCAATGTAATCTACCGAAATCACCCCCCTCCCTCTTTTACGCTACTGCCACGCTGGAAGATTGTTCACTACCAAGTGGCCAAAAAGGTGCCACTTGGCAATTTCAAGGGGGGTGAAAAGGATCTCGCCAAAACCCACATTCTCGCTTCTAGCTGTGATGGTAATCCAACTTTGAAAACACCCAAGTTGTCTTTGCATCAAAATCCTTACACTAAAAATACCGTATAAAAAGACATGGGCAGCGGGGGCCTCCGGTTGCGTACGAGTGCCTCTGTGTGTTGCGCCGATGACACCGCATGCGTCGAATCTTGTAGGGTACGGGAGGCTTCGATGAGGGGCTCGACGTATGGCGTAACATACATTTCCTTTGCTGTGTCGCTTCGCCATCTGCCCAGCCGTTTGAAGACTCTGTCCGGCACTCCCGTGTTGGCTGCTACTGTGGCTGCACCTTTTCGGAAAGAATGGGTGCCTAGCTGCAACTCTCCAAGGCCAACCTTTGCGAAGGCTTCCTTGCACCAGTTCCGGATCGTAGTGTATGAAGGTGGCCTAGCCTGGCCCTCTCTGGTTGAACCTTGACCGAAGACACGAATCAATGGTCCCTCTGACCGTGGGCCATAGCCAGCGAGTCGGATGAAGCGTCGGGTGCAGCGCACTGGGCAGCAGGGGTCCGCCGTTGCTGCAATGGGTATCCAAGTGCCGTGACCAGCTTGATCGGTCTTGGAGTGTGGTATGAGAATCCACATGACCTCGTCGTCGAATTGGATGTCTTGCCATTTTATGGCTACTAGGTCAGAGTATCGCAGGAATCCGGAGTACATGAGGATGGGTATCAACCCTTTCTGAAATTGCGCAGGATCGTCGGACTGCAAGTAGCTCGCGGCCATTTCCTGGACTTGTTGGATCGAGACGGGTTCCTTCAGACGAGTAGGGCGTGGGCAGTGTCGCTTTGCATAGTCACGGACTTGGGTGGTGAACGGTCCGGTTGTCGGGCATTTGCTCCCGGTCATGCGATGGGCGAAGCTGACCGCCGAGTAGGTTAGCTGCACTACGGACATGGTGGCTTTGCGTCGGATTGCGTTGTACCAGGTATAGCGCGAGGGTCATGTCGGATGCCGGGAGGAATGGAAGGTTCACTTTTGTGCAGAAGGCTCGAAACTTGGCCCAGTATGGTTCATATGTCCGGATCGTAGAATCGGCGCGGGACTGCGCGAGCATGTTGATCAGTTGGTCGTGTAACTTTGGGAGCAAATCTGAACACAAGGTGTATATATTTTGAATTAGTCAAATGCCACTCGCAGTGCAATGATTGGGCTGTGCGGTAGTCCCATGCCCGAAAAAGCAGTTGAATGGGACCCTACGTCTAGGCATTGGCTTCCGTGTGTCAGAGGGATGTGCGCGTGGATGTGTGGTGCCCAAGTGCGTGGGGAGGGTTGCAAGAGTGGCCACCAGCTTGCGCCTGGCCAGTGCGGAACTATCAGTGTGAGTGATGCATGGGTGCGTTGTGCGTGATGGAGGACGGCTGGGACCAGTTGAGGTGGGGGGAAGGCGAAGTTGTTTTCAGGTGTCCACGCGATCGAGAACGCATCAACTGCAATGGCTGCCGGGTGGGGAATCTTTGAACAGAAGCGCGGCAGTTGGGTGTTGCGGGAGTTTGCGAAAAGGTCGATGGAGTGAGGACCCCAACGACGTTCCAAGATCCGGAACCACGGCGTTTTCAGCGCGTAATCGTCGTGGTCGACCATTTTTGAAAGCTCGTCGGCGTGTGTGTTGAGCTCGCGCGGAATCCATTCAATGATCAAGCGCGTGCCAAGCGCCATGCATGTTCGGATGATGCTCTTGCATGCCGTTGTGAGGTCGGGGCTGTGAGAGCCGCCTTTGCGAAGGATGAAGAATACGCCCCGGTTGTCCACCCGCACGAGAACGTGTTTTTGCTTGATCTTGTTCGCGTACGTGTGTAGCGCCCAAAGGACGCCTTCGATCTCCCGTCGCGTGCTGGACGTTCCTCGTAGCGGCTCTGACATGGTTGCGCTAGCTTCTTCGATGCCACCCGGAAATGTGGTCAGAGTGGCGCCCCAACAATGAGAGCTGGCATCCACGTGGATTACCGCGTCGTAGCTGTTCTTGACGTGAAAAGGTGCGCCGTTGAAACGGTCGAACTCCTCGAGCCAAAATTGGAGCTCTTCTGCTGCAGATGGGGGGATAACGACGCTGCTTTTCCATGACGGTGCGTCGTCGATCACTTGTAACATAGCATGGCTGAATGCGCGAGCTGTCGCGCCAAGTGCGACACCCATCGATGCGAGCATGCCAGTGATTCTGGCCACGTGGCGGACCGGGACTGGTCGGCATGCCTTGCTTGCGCTCAGGAGGTTCCGGATGGTTGCATGTAGTGAGGCTCGTCGGTCCGGACCGATGGAGAATCGGCCGGTATCGGTCTCGAGTTCTACGCCCAGGAATCGGAGACGCTGCGATGGTGACAGTTGTGATTTCTTCGCGTTTATCACAAGGCCTGCCTCTTTAAGATCCAATATCACCCGCTGGCAAGTTGCTTGCGCGTCCTCTTTCGACTGGCAGAGAAATAAGATGTCGTCCACGTAAGGTACGACTCGGATGCCTTGTTCTCGCCAACGCCGAGCTAGTTGCTTGATGAGCTGCGTGAAAACGAATGGAGCTGTCGCGAGGCCAAATGGTAGTGAACGGAATGCGTATGTGCGCTTATCAAATTCAAAGCCAAGGAACTTCCAGCACGATGGGTGGATGTCGATGTGGTGGTAACCAGATTTGAGGTCAATGGAGAACATCCAGTCCCCAACGCGCGCAAGGTCGGCGACGCGGCTGAGCCCTTCGTACTTGAACTTGGGGATGATCAAGTTGGCGTTGACTTTCCTCAGATCAAGAATGAGCCTGCATTTGTCTTTTTGCTCGACCACGTTGAGTGGACTTATGCATGTAAGCTCCGTTGCGGCCATCGGAATTGCCGCTCCCGTCTCTATGAGTTCTTGGATGGCGGTACGTGTGAACGTGGCATGCGTGTTTGCCCCGACATGATTGCGATCGTGGAAATGTTGCGGTGGGCCGTGGCTCCATGGCAACCAGTAACCCTTGGCGATGACGGAGAGGACAAGGCTGCTGGGGCACCATGAGCTCCACCACGCAAATGTCGCGCGAAGACGACCGCGCATGTGTGTAATAGTTCTGTCTGTAACGGCAAATTCGTACGGATCGTCGTGGCATGCCGCCTCGCACCGTCGTGCTCCTGTACATTTGAGGCCAAGTGGTATAAGCTTTGAGTATTCCACGTTAAAGCATGCGTGTGCATGTACTTGTACGGGCAACCATTGATCGAAGGTGTGAAGAGAATGAACAATTGAATGAAATGTCAACGAATGTGTCGTTAATGTTAACGCATGTCAACGCATGTCTCTTCTTCTCCTCGTTTCCCCCCTTTTTTTTTTTTTTTTTTTTTTTTTTTTTTTTTTTTTTTTTTTTTGCCCCGTCGTCCACTTGGTAGGACATGGTTGTGCCTGCCCTTAGTGCGTAGGGGCTGATGCCTAGGGCCATGGACACCGTTGTCCATTGTGCTTTCTCTCATTCTCTCTTATCTCTCTCTCTCTCTCTCTCCCTCTCTCTCTCTCTCTCTCTCTCTCTCTCTCTCTCTCTCTCTTTCTCTCTCTCTCTCTCTCTTTCTCTCTCTCTCTCTCTCTCTCCCTCTCTCTCTCTCTCTCTCTCTCTCTCTCTCTCTCTCTCTCTCTCTCTCCTCTCTCTCTCTCTGCTCCTCCTCTTGATTTTCATAGTCTCTTTGCCAAAACCATAGGCCTTTAGGAAGGTAGTTTTTATTAAATCAACCAACACACATAGCAATGCTTTCCTAGCATGCCACCAAGTGGCCAACATATGGGACCGAGGGGTTGTTGTTCCCCTTCCCTATCCTAGGCCCAAGCCTATCCCACCCTTTACTAGGGCTGGCCTCTTGCCATCGCAAACCCCTAGGGTTGCCCACGGTTTTCGCACTCAAGCGTGCCACCGTGCCTAGCGCCCAAGCGCCTAGTCTCATGGCCCGCTCCTACACCACCGGAGCGGGTCCCTGGCCTCCATGCCCGTTCCGAGGGCAGGCACTTGCCACGTGGCCCGGCTGGCCGCAGCGGAAGCATGAGCCCCGGAACCCACGGCAATTGGCCGTGGGCGGGGGGCCTCGCTTGGGTAAGAACGGCATCGGCCCGTTGTTTCCGCCGCGGTTGACACGAGCGTATCCGCTTGCCGCACGGTCCATCGCCGCCATGTCCGCGACCGCCTGCTTGAAGGGTCGAGAAGTCAGCAGGCTCTTCTGCTGGTACAGCTTAAAGCGCTTCGCCGTGCGAAAGTCGGAGGCGTCCTCCACTTGAAGCACCTCGAAACGCCCCGCGATGAGGTTGAGAGCGTGTGAGATGAGTTCGAGTCCGCCCGCCGGATCACTGCGCTGCGCCTTGTATTCGGCGTGCAGCAGGTACGCCCGCAGGTCCTCCAGTAGCTCCGCTTGCTCTCGCACGGAGTCGTTGACGAAGGTTGCCGCCGAGAAGGTAAGATTAGAAGAAGGGAGGGGGGGAAGGTTTTCCGTGCCAATAAAATTAACATTGTTGACTGGAGCCTCACCGGCTTCATCTTCAGAGTCGTCGGTGTCGTTGTCGACCGCTGGAGCAGGGGGAGCGGCAGTCGCTGCGTCGTTGTCATGCCGGTTCGTCCGTGCTCCCCGTGTGCCTTTCTCCTTTTTTTGCAGTTTCTTTTTTAGCCGACGCAGATGCGGCGGGTAGTGCAGTTTCCGCGGCTGTAACGCTGACGGGTTGCTGCTGTAGAAGGGACAGCAGCGCGTTGACCTGGTCCGGGGTCAACGCCTGCGTCAGCGCAGGGGCGGCGGTCGCGTCAGACGAGGAGACTGCAGTCCGCCTCCTCTGACGCTGACGCGACGGTCCAGCAGCGGGTGCTGGCGTGTGCTCGGCGTCAGTCGCGTGTGCCGCGCCAGTCCCCGTCGCCACTTGCGCCACAGGTGCCACTGGCGCCACAGGCGCCACTGGCGCCACAGGGACCGAAGGGTGCTGCTGGGTTTCGACGTTTTTGTGGACCTCGAGCCCGCCCAGCAGCACGTCCACTGCAGTCGGGGCGGAAGGTCCGTCTTCTGCCCGACGCTTGTTACGGCGTTCGCCCGCAGAATCGCGGGCGTTACGGTCGGAGTCGGAAGCGGGGGTTGACGAGTTCCCGTTGTTAAGTGTCGGCGTAGGTGCCATCGTTGAGCGATTGAAGTTGAAAATGTCGCTGAGTAAAGTAGAGGGTGACTCGCCTCTAGGAAGCGATTTAATCCTAGCCAGCTTGGAGGGAAAAACTACTCGAGCGGAAAATGTTGAGTGAGCCGTTTGAAAATTGAGAAACGTGGGTGGAGGGAAATGAGCTCCAACCCACGGTTTTTGTAGTTGGAGAAGGGCGTTTAGCGCGCTTCGACGATGCCAATTGTGCAGTACAAGCAGCTTCGCTTTCACAATACACAATTTTAAAAAACACTACATGTGTGTTTAAAAATTATAATTAGACGAACGACAGTGCGGCTGTGCTTAACAGGTGTTGAGGACATGGCTTCACAGCGGGAGATGATATCTGGGAGAGAATATCCGGGAGAAGATATCCGGGAGAGGATATCCGGGAGAGGATATCCGGGAGAGGATATCCGAGAGAGGATATCCGGGAGAGGATATCTGGGCGTGATATCCGGGCGATGATATCCGGGAGAGGATATGCGGGAGAGGATATCCGGGAGAGGATATCTGGGGGACGCTATCCTGAGTTGATATTCAGGAGATGATATTCGGGAGACAGGATATGATATTTGGGAGATGATATCCGGAATTTGATATCCGGGATAGGATATCCGGGAGAGGATATCCGGGAGAGGATATCCGGGAGAGGATGCTCGGGAGAGGATATCCGGGAGAGGATATCCGGGAG